CCTTTTCATTAGCCACCACCCCCACCGCCCCCCACCAAATCTTTTGTTTGTGTCAGTCTTAGGAGCTGTTGTGATTCGAATCATTGGCATTTGGATAGGAAATTTTCAGTCGTTAGAACTACCAAAGCTCTAGAAGTATGCCAAAAATAGGGAAATGATTAACATTTACTGCATAGATGAGTTGACCCTTGAATCTTAATGTTTATTTCATGATTAAAAAAAATCAATTCTTTAAACGGGGAAATGTCGTTTATGTTTGTCATAGGACAAGTTTAATCTTGTGGTACTGTTTTTCCAGATAGTATGTTCTTCATTCTTTGAGCTAAAGTTCAGCCACCAATGGAGTTAAGGGGAAGACTAATGTTTTATTTTATCCTTTAACCTTTATCCAGTAACCTTTATCCTAACAGTTTCATCTGTTGTGGCTTTTTCTCTTTACCTGCCTTTTTTTCTGTCTCTGGGGGTTTGTTTTTGCATCTGGGTAGCTTTTGTTTTGTTTGGGGAGGGGAGCATCGTTTGCCATTGCACAAAACACTAGAAAGATTTAGCTTTAATCAGGTTTATGACTGGTTCAGAGAAATCAACAATACTTATCTTGAGAAGTCATCAGATTTAACAAGTCAGGGGTTAAGAATACTAAGCAGCTTAAAGAGTGTGGGTGCTTTATAATTTATAAAGAAAGATAGACTCTGGGAAATGTATACACTTCTAATTTCAAATGATAATGCTAAGATTTAGCAAGGTTATCTGTCCTATCTGAAAATAGAATTTATGTCGATTCCCTTTACAAGCTAAGACTTTTTCCAGCTTGTTTCATTGTGTTCTTATACATGATCTTGAAAGTATATTAGTTGTTTATAGATAATTTTTCTTTGCTTTAAAAAATTGTTTGAAGAAGTTAAGCTTAAATATCAAAGTAAAATGTTTATTCTGTAAAGTTCTCTTTTGTTTAATTAGGTGTTTGGTGACCAATAAATCTGCCTGGTTGAACTGGTGGAATCGAATTAGTAAGTTTGTGTAATAGTTGGCCATTTCTAACTGTGGTCTTAAGATTTAGTTAATGTTCTTCATAATGGATTAATGAGTTAAGACTTTTTAATGTGGTAGCTCAGTAAGGAATCAGAGTTAAGGCCTGAACCTCTGATCCTAAGCTCTGCCTAAAGACTTGCTCTGTGACCCAGGGCAAGACACTTCACCCTATGCCTCTAAACTACACTCCCTAAAATGTTGATTTAGATCACTCACCTACCTCACAGGGTTGTTGTGAGGAGAACTTATCACTAACTGCAAAGTTCTTTACCAGTAAAATGATTATGAATAATTATATACATATACTAAATGATTTAGTCAAGAAGCTTTAAGAAATGTCTTAAAGAACTTTGAGAAACTTAGTATGTAATATTTATCTTTTTTTTTGTTTTTGTCACTAGTTACATAAAGTTGAGTTAGAAAATTAGGAAAAGTTTCTATAGTAGCTTTAATATATACTCTACACCAAATTGGTATAATAGCGTAAATTAAAACATGATTAATTTAGTACCATAGACATGCCCACTGCATTATGTAAGTGTCAGAGAACAAAATATCTCTCCATAGTTTAAGGACTTTAATATAGATTGTGAATACATATGCAAGGGAACCTGTTTGATATTTTCCTACTAGGATTTTTTGTTGTTTTGCTCTGACACAGGGATTTCCTTGTAGGTTACTGTTCTGGGAACTCCTGCAGAAGAAGATGGTGGTGGCAAAATTGATTTAATTGAAGCAGGGGCTTTTAAAAATCTCGATGTTGTTTTTATGGCGCATCCATCCCAGGAGAATGCTGCTTATCTACCTGATGTGGCTGAACATGAGTAAGTAATCAAGTTGAAATAAACTTCTTAATGCAAAACAGACTATGAGAATACTTTTATGTCTTAATTGGAAACCAGAACTCCATATTTATACATTTAAAAAGTAAATTGAAAGGTAATGATGTGATGTCTTACTTGATTTCCATTGAATCACATATGATAAGCCTCTTCAAATAGACATTTAATATGGTATCCATAATTGGACTATTAAAATAGAGCCTAAAGAGCGTAAGAATATGCTCTTGATTCAGCATATTCAGAATATGTTCATGCTTATGTTCTATTTTGAACTGAGAGTAATTTGGTTTCTGGAAAATATCTAGCCTTTGATATGAAATTGACTATTTGCAAGCGATAACTTTAGACTTGGGAAGAAAACATATTTTTCTAGTTAATTTAATATGAGTTCTTTGCAAAGAGGATAAATTCCTGAGTGAAAATATAGAAACTGAGTATCTGTAGATTTTAGAGGAATTTGCCAGTCTATGCTTTTTTGATGCGTCTGGTGCTGAAGCCTTTTATTTATCTTTCTCTGTGTTGAAGAGCTCACTTTTTTGGTACCTAAGAGCATGCATCACTGAAGTGGTTTTTTAATGCCAGAATTTCAACCATAGAAGTTAATGGACCAGTTAGTGGCCCAGTCCCAAGGAACCCCTGCTCAACTTCTTCAGGAAAACCACACATTCTCCTGTGTGGTGGCTAGGGAGTAATAGCAAAACCATCCAGCAGTGCTACCTCTCAGCATCCCACAAGGCCTTGTTTTCAGAGGGTGACTATTATACTGTTCTGGTACCTTTGTTCTTATCACTGGGAATTGGTGCCGTGACAGTAGAAAGAATCTTTAAATTTTGGTTTTAGGGGTAATGTACACTAGTACATCTCTGGAAAACCTTAGCTATTAGAAATCTCTGCCAATGCCTCTGGCTAAAAGAGGCGTGCAGTTGCAGGCAGGCTTCCCAACCCATCAGCCTTCTAAGACTTAGGCTTAGACCTCTTGGCTTTGATCCTGAAATCAGCCCAGTTGGCCTTGGGCCTTTTCTTTGTGTCTGGCTTTTTAGATTTTTCAGTGGCCATTTTTTAAGATGGAAAAGAGAAGAAAAACAAAAATTTAATTAAAAATTACTAAAATCAGAGGGAAAAAATGGCATAGATGATAGAGGCTCTGTTCATCCTTCTGGCAACCAAATCAAAGTTGTGACAGAAACAAAGAGCAACAACAAGGAATGCACCTGGGATCTAGATGAACAAGCCATACAACTAGGGAGAAATCCAAGAAAGCACCCTGCAACGGCAGAAGGTAGGACAGGGCGAGGACACAGGGCTGCCTGGTCTCGAGTGGTGGAGTGAGACAGAGGCAGCAGCAGCGGCAGAAACCTCTAGAAGGAGCAGTGTCCGTGAGTGAATTTTCTCAGTGACAGACCTGCTCGCTATGAGCACCAGTGCCGATTAGGCTGCACACGGGGGACACCAGGGACTTACAGGGAGACATTGTTGGAGCGAGAACCGAGGCAAGACTCACTCTGTACAGAGGTGCTGGTGGTATCCATTGTTCCCTACTGTGCCCTCCCCCATCCCAGTGCGCAGATACAGCGCTGCCATAGCTGAGACATCATCAAATTGGATAACAGAGGTCGCTCCACTCAGAAGATTCCCTGAAACCCTGCTTCCCCGAACTTGTGGCCCCACCCAAGCCACATCCAGGTATATCCTCAGTGAGTCAGGTGTTCCTTGCTGAGCAGAACCTAGACTTACATTGGAGACAGCTGGCCTCGGTTTCTGATGTGGCCTTTTGAGGCAACTATAAGCATAGCATCTGTGGATTGCTTGCTGAATCTTAACAGGTGGCCCCGGAGGGGGCAGAGGCTTGGGCTAAATTTGGCCTGCAGCTGAACCCCTCTCAAGACTGTGCCACTGGACACCTACTTCATAAATCCACACTAATAAGACTGGGAACTTAGGAGCTTTGCTTAGTACATAGAAACAGACACAGAAAGACAACCAAAATGGGAAGACAAAGAAGCAAAAGCCATGTGAGCGCACAGAATAGAGATCCAGATATAATGGAGTCAAGCAATCTAGCAGATGCAGAGCTCAAAACACTGGTTATAAAGATACTCAATGAACTTTTGGGAAATGCAGATAAATTCAGAGAGATAAAAAACATAAAAATGGAAACGGCAATTATAAAAGAAAACCAGTCTGAAATGAAGAACACATTATCTGAGATGAGAAGTATATTAAATGGAATAAACAAAAGAATAAACAAAGTGATAAAAGATCAAATGCCTTATCTAGAAGACAGGAAAGCCGATCAGGACACTCAATCAGAATGGCAAGAAAAAAGATGTCAAGACTATAAAAATAATTTAAGGAGGACATGGGACACTATTAAGGCTCCAAATATCCATCTGATCAGCATAACTGAAAAAAATCAAGATGTTGAACAGCTGTTTGAAGAAATAATATTAAAACTTCCCTAACCTGGTGAAGGAAATGAACATAAAACCCCAGGAAACTCAGAGAATCCCAAAACTCAGGGATCCAAAGAAGCCCACATCAAGACATATCATAATTAAGATGCCAAAGGTTAAATACAAAGAAAGAATATTATGAGCAGCAAGAGAAAAACAGATAGTTATCTATAAGGGAACACTTATAAGACTGACAGCTGATTTCTCAAAAGAGCTTCCCAGACAAAAATAAACTAAAGGAATTTATCACCACCAAGCCAGTATTACAGGAAATGTTGGAAGAACTTCTTTAAGAAGAAAAAAAAGTATCAAAAACAGGAATAAGGAATGGTAACAACTACATTTCTCTCAATAAATACCTTAAATGGAAAAGAATTAAGTGTTCCAATCAAAAAACAGAGTGTCTGAAAGGATAAGAAAACAAGACCCCTACATATGCTGTCTACAAGAGACTCGCTTCAGGTTAAAAGACAGACACAGACTAAAAGGAAGGGAATGGAAAAAGATATTGCTTTGGTGGACCTAGAAGGTATTTAAGTCAGACAGAGAAAGATAAACACTATTATTTCACTTATATGCGGAATATAAGGAATAAAAAGAACAAACTAATTAAAAACAGACTCACAAATATAGAGGACAGTTTGGTGATAGAGGAGATGGGGGTTTGGAGGGACTGGGAGAATGGGGTAAAGGGTTAGCTGATGGTCACGGGGATGGAGAGCACAGCATAGGGGATGTAATTAGCATTAATACATTGGCTAGGTGGAAGGTCAGGGAGGGAGGGAGCAATTGAGGGGATCGTTTTATGAACTATATAGATGTCTAACCAATGTACTGTATACTTGAAACTAATTGAAATAAATAAATTTAAAAAAAACAAAATTACTAATCTGTTTGTCTTAAAAATCTCTAACAATAAGAAAAAGCACTATATCCCTATTGACCACCTTTCCCACATCTAAGCTCTTCTCTAAAGGTATGTGTCCTTCCAGGAGTTTTAGGTTTTGTTTATAGATGTAAATAGGTACATGTATAAATTAAAATTTCAACCCTGAGGTATTCTGCTAAATATATTGTTGGTCTGGCTATCGCTTTTTAAAATTAAACAATATGTCTTGAAAATCATTCCATTTAATTTAGCTTAAAATATGCTTTTTAAGCTTAAAATACAAATGTTGATACAAAACAAACATTAACATTTCTTTTCCTGTAGTTTATTTTGCTTTAATTATACAAAGATCTGAACCATAGAAGAAATGGTGCTAGAGCCATTTTCATAAAGGACATTCTTTTCTATTTTATAAATTTATCACAGTTCATTAAAATTCAAGTTTCAGGATAATGATAAGATACAAAGGAAATAACAGGTATCCTACAATCTTAAAAATATATTTGGATGCTTTTACTTGTTGTGCTAATAGAATGTTCGAAATCAGTCAGGAAATAACCATGAGCATTCTAAGGGCTCCTGAATCTAGCACATTTTAAAAAAAAGGTCTAGAGTGGCTTTTTAATAATTTAAACGTGGGTACCATTAATCATTTGGCTTAAAAAATGTTATCTAAGCAAGTTATCTTTATAAATAACTAATATACAATCCCCTTTCTAAACTTCGTTATTTTTTATTGTATCTGAGTACTTAGACTGGTATGAGAACTCTTTGGAGTGGAATAGCAATAATTTATAAAATTTTAAGATATTAGTGTTATAGGTATTTTGGGACGTTAATAAAATACTGGTCAGGAACAACTGACTTAATACTAGCATATCTTATAATGTGAGTATAATCTGAGTTTTAGAGGTTGTCCTAACCCATTTCGAATGTCATCTCCTTTTTCTTCCCTTGACCTTCCTCCCTCCCCCGTAAGACAATTATCTGAGTTTTTGTAGACCTTTGGTATAGAACTATCACAATGAAGTATAGAACGTGACAGGATCATCTTTTCTATAATTTTAGCACTTAATACAGTATTGCATATTTGTTTGAATTGAGTTGTTTATAGATTTAAGTTGTACAGGAGGTCAATTTTTTCTTATGTTGGAATGCCTTCTTTGTGTCATTCACTGTATTATGTAATAAAGTACAACTAAGCTATATAAATTACTGTTATCGCTACAAATGATTTGCAAATAAAAATTCTAGCAGAATGAATTTTGAATAATAGTTGGGTAATGCTAACTACTTGGATTTTTTTATTCAGTGACATTGAAAAAAGTAATTTCAAATAATGTTTTATTTCCTAGTATGACTGTGAAGTACCATGGAAAAGCATCTCACGCTGCAGCTTATCCCTGGGAGGGAGTAAATGCATTAGATGCTGCTGTTCTCGCCTACAGCAACCTCTCTGTGTTAAGACAACAAATGAAACCAACCTGGAGAGTTCATGGTATGAATGTCACATACTTTGTGTAATAGATGGTGCTTAATATATTTCAGTAAAATATAATTTACTTTTTTAAATTGGAAACATTTTATGTAGTTTATAGGAATATTCCAAAATTTGTAAACATTTTCAGAAGTTAAAGACAGGATTCTAGGATATTTGTCCATGCGTGGGTAAAAAGACAGTTAAGATTATTTATATATAAATGGAATGGTCATTTTGATATTAGAGATAATGGTTTTATATAAGGACCTGTGTTTTCTCTGTTTATTTGAAAGTTGGAACTTGATTTTCCAGTTATACTGACTATCTCAATGATAACAAAATTTTGTCATTTCCTCAATTTAAAAAAGTTACAATGACTAGTTGTATTTACTCAAGTGCTGTTAATCCTAAGTAACATCTTTTAAAATTATATGTATTGTCTTAATATAAATACAGTAATAAAGTACTGTCTTGAAAGTACAAATTTATTTTTTAGTTTATTTCCTTATGATTTGAGAAATTATTATACTTTAATATTCTTTACCTGATTTTGCTGTAGGCTGAAATTAGTTTGTAATTACATTTTCACCAATTTCCTACCTTAGTTTCTTTAAAAGGAATAAACATGAATATGTAAAAAAATATTTGTTAAAAACAGGTCATATAAAATTAGATTTTGCATATCTATTTTAGTTAGAATTTCAGTGGATAAATCCTGCTTCTCTGTGTAGTTCCAAATAGATGCATTTGTTTCGACAGTTAATAGTACTTAGTGATCTCGATTTAGTGATCTTTGACCTGCATTGGTTTCTCCTTGGCATGAAAATTATCTTCCCAGAGCAAAATGTCATTTTAAATATTCACGGGATTCTTGAGGTACGAGGATAATTATAGAACTCATACTATCGGTTTTTTTCTTATCTTATATCAAAAGTTTATTAAAATGTACGACTGTAATAAAGCCTACTGAAATTAAAGTATTTTCCAGAAGGGTTAATATAGTTATAAAAATTTCTAAGTTTTTTTTATAGTCAGGAATCCTAACTTCTTGTAAGTTCTTTAGAATAAAGTACATGTAATCAATTCTTTTCTTTTCCTGTTAATCAAAGTATTACTCTATGTATAGGAACTTCTGTTGTAAAACATCACAAAATTTTTGATTCATACTTTTATGAAACAAATAAATTTAAATTATTGTTCACTGTGTACATATTGGCTGTAAAACTTGATGGATGTGTTGAAGCTTAAAGAAATGATCTCCAAGCTCAATTCCAATAATTTGATTCTTTTTATAGGTATAATAAAAAATGGTGGTGTAAAACCCAATATCATTCCCTCTTATTCTGAATTAATCTATTACTTCCGTGCACCTTCAATGAGAGAACTTGCAGTTTTGACCAAAAAGGCAGAAGATTGCTTTAAAGCTGCAGCTTTATCTACTGGATGCACAGTAAGGACTTTTAAGAGTTAATCTAAGATAATCAAAGGTATATATGTGGGCTGGGGTTATTTATACTAAGTTATATAAGAACCGTACTTGCTTCTTTTTCATTTGATGTCTCGAATACATAAAATCAGTTGGCTGAATAGTTGATGTGAAAATCTTTAATTCTTATTTATTTTATTCATTGTCTGCATAGGGAAGACTACAGTCATCTTTGTACACAGTAATTAGAATAACTCTAATACTGCTTAGATAGAATTCCTGCTTTTTTGCAAGTTAAATCCTTCCTTATTAGTAGTTATGCTTTTAGAATTGCTCTTTGTAGTTTCTGTAAAGGAAATTTATGGCAAAATCAGCAAAAGTTATTTTTGGTGAAGTTACAGATATGTGTAGTTATATAAATACTAAGGGCTTGCTGGAATGAAAGTTAAAATAGAATGTTAAAATGGAATAGAATGTTAAAATGTTAAAAAGTTAAAATGGAAGTTAGTCAAGAGGTTTTGTTCATTTGAACCATAAAGTCAGTAACATTTATATACCAATCATGTAAGGCATACAGTGGGATGAGAAGTTACAGAAGAACTTATATAAATCTTGCCCTAGAGGGAACCTGTAATCTCATTGGAAAGACAAGATCTGAATCTGTGCCTCTCACCCTCACTGATTCTGTAACTTTTGGAAATGTTATTTAATATCTCTGGGCTTCCATTTTCTCTTGAAAAATGGAGATAGTAATATAATCTATCTTAAGGTTCTTGTGAGAATGAAATGAAATAATGTTTATGAAGAGTTAGGGTCTAACCCTCATACATAGCACCTTATTTTTTTCCTGCCCTCATTAGGCTGGAGGTTTATGGTTTATTCAGATAGTAACAGTATCTCAGCCAGTAGCAGTGATTCTCAGACAGGATACGTCAAGTTGTCCAAAGAGTGAAAAATTAAGCATTTATCCCTTGTTTGTTTATAATTATAAATATTTAAAATACTTATTTATAAAATAAATACATGAACTATTATCATTAGCTAGTATTTCAAAATACAGTATTCCCTTAGAATAAGATTCATTGTTATTGGATTTAAATCTGTATTTTAAATAGTCTTTTCATAACTTTTTACATTTTGGCTGACATGATATCAGATAAGGTCGTCATTGTTTCTAACTTAGATGTTGCTAAGAATAGAAGAAATGTCATCTCTGCCGTTTTATAATTGGCTTTTGCTAATGTTATAGGTATTATCTTTAGTTTGAGGCAGTATTGCCCATTTTGACTTAATCAAAACTATAAATCGTGAGTCTTCTATCTTTCTCTTTATACCTTTCAGACCAGGCAATGGTATCAATGTCGGTTTGTATAGAGAATATTAGTAAAGCTTAATTTTTTTCTTTTAGACGCTACAGCCTCAAGAAGTTTTCTTCGGAGTGTGGTTTTTGGACCACCTGCATCAGAATTACTTGATGACTGCCCCACCGTCCCCCCCAAACACACACACTCCCTTACTTAGGTGACTGAAGTTGAGACTCACTGGCTAGTAGAGCCTGGTGATGTCATGTGGTTCAGTGCATATGTGACAAAGGAGATAGTGTCCTAAGAATTCTTGTTATAGAAAATACATAATTTTTGAAGAGATTTGAGAGAGTTCATATCCAGAAGGAAAAGTGCCTGCTCTTAAACCTCTTTCAAAAAAAATTTTTTTTTAATTGCTGGTTAGAAATTTAAATAGTAAATTTGAGGGTTTTTATTTCAAATTTTGTTTTTTAATTTTTTATTAGGTAGAAATTAAAGGTGGAGCACATGATTACTATAATGTCCTTCCCAATAAGTGCCTTTGGAAAGCTTATATTGAAAATGGGGAAAAGCTGGGAATAGAGTTCATTTCAGAAGATGCAGTTTTGAATGGCTCTTCAGGTAACTAAGTTCTTTCATATATGTTGTGCTACTGGAGGAAGGGAAATACCATCTTAAATGGTTTTGTTTAGCAGCTTTGGAGATAGGGAGGTATTGCTGATATTTTTAGTGATATTTTTCACAAACTTAATGGTTAGGGGAAAGAAACTAATGAACTCTTCAGTGAATGTAGAGTATCAAATGAGCAGATTTGAATTTAGAAATAGCCAACATACTTTTAGCTTTATATTCTATATATTTGTAGTGTTTAAATTTGCTTAGTTCTAATTTTTAAATAGAATTTTACTTCATTCTCAGCCATCAATGTGCAGGTTACTAAGTACTTAGTTATATGGAGTCATTTTCAGATTCTGAGGAGTAACAAACAGCTATTAGAATTTAAACAATCAGAAGTGTATTGGGGTTATTTTAGATTTTTTCCTTTTAAAAGCATTTTACATTTGCATGTTGGAGATGTATCTCCCAAAAATATAATAAGAGATGTTGATGAAGTAGACTCAGAAAGACTTGGTGATAAAAATGGGGTGCTAATGGCATTCATTAAGATAAGGAGTTCAAGAGAATGAGCAGTTTGGGGTATGGCAGGTTGGTATAAATGGTTAGTATGTTAAATTTGAGGTGCTTATAGGATTATAAGGGGAGCTGTCCAGTAGCCCATTGACTCTGGAATCCGCAAAAGGTGTCTAGATTGGAGATTTAGGAGTTGCCAGTGTCTGAAAGGTAATTGAAAACATAGGATTTGATGAGATTTCCCAGGTACACAGAGGGAGAAGAAGAAGAAACTCAAAGATGAAACCCTAGGGACCTCCAGCACTTAGTAGACAAGCAAAGGAAATGATCGAGGAGGAGACAGCGGACAGAGAGAAAGGCAGGCATTGGGGAGAGAGTAGACTCGTAGAAGCCAAAGGAGTAGAGAAGTTCTAGAAGGGAAGAAGCAGTAAATCATGACAGGTACTAAGGGGAATGAATAAGGATGGTCTAGTAACTATTGAACTAGCAATTAGAAATTCATGGATTGCCTTACCTTTTCAAGGATCTACTGATTTTGGAAATGTTAGCTTTGTGGTTCCTGGGATTCATCCATATTTTTACATTGGGTCCGAAGCCTTGAATCATACGGAACAGTATACTGAAGCCGCAGGTAAGTGTTAGAAGTGGATGTTTTGGTATGTGTTGTCTTTTTGTAGCAGTAGCTGCCTTTCCAACTGTTTAGTTTAGCCTGTTATTACATTACCTAACATCACCTCGGGAAACATGATATCGTGGTGGGCAGTGGAGAAACAATTTAGCTATTAAGAGCTAACGTGAAAACTAATACATTAATTTATGATGAACATGGAGGTATCCTTATTTTCTCTACCTTTTAGGTTCACAGGAAGCTCAGTTTTATACTCTGCGTACAGCCAAAGCTCTGGCAATGACTGCGTTGGATGTTATTTTTAAACCAGAATTGCTAGAAGGAATCAGAGAGGACTTTAAATTGAAGCTTCAAGAAGAAGAGTTTTTAAATAGAGCAGAATAAAAGGAAGATTTAGGAGACACTTTTGAATCATTAAGAAGTGATCTTTTTCTTTAATTTTTTTTGATGAAAAAGGAGGACATGCTTGTTTTTCAGTCTTTAAAGGAGTTATATTCCTCCTATCTGAAAAGCGAGGGCATGATGTGGAGAAAACACATAAACACATTACCTCATGTCTAAAATTAAAATTTTCACAAATCTATATTTGATGGAATTGTGATCTTTCAGAAGCTAATATGTGATGGCATTTCTTAAACAACCTGGATGATACATGGTTTATCAGTGATAGTTTATAAATTCGTATGTTGTATGAGTATATTTTAAAAGATTCAAGAGATTTCAAACTTTATATTCAGAATTGACACATGAAAAATTTTTTTTTTTTTTGGTAGAGGGTGGTAAAATTGTTATATAAAGTTTTAAAATTCAAGTTCTAAATTTAGAGAAAGTTCATTGTGATATCTGACTATATATGTTTTGGTTTAGAGAATCTCTTTATTGATGATAAAAATAGGTTTTTAATCAGAAACGTTGTGGAAAACAACCAGAAACTCAGGTACAAAGAATAAGCTTTAGTTTTACCATTTGAAGGAAAACAAAAATGTTCCTTCTGATATATAGTTAACTCTGAGAAGCAGCATTAAAATGTTACTCCTAATTCCATATCACTGTAATAGGAAGAATTGTAGATGGATAGGATTGGGCTCTTCTTTAAGGTGTTTGCTTGATAACCCAGTGTATTCTAAAAGGACTTAATGAGAGAGGAGCAATATCTACATATCTTGAATATTAATGTCATATAACTGGTCCCATCTACCTAGTTGAGCCCTAGTTGAGGCTTCTATTCAGAAGCTAGCCTGTCCAGCCTGGCTGGACAATATTATAGTTTACTGAGTTTAAGGGATACAATTCTGAGCCTCCTTAAGCCTTATGCTAGCCCAATATTAATTTAAAAGTATTATAAGTTTTTCCTGGTTCTTATTTTAGTATGAATTTCTTGAACATGATAATATGAAAGAAGTACCTGGTAAAAGCTGTAAATATAGTAAAGCTATAATAAAGTATACTTTATTTTAAAAGGGAGTCCTTAGATTTGAGGGTAAACATTCCAAAATGGAAGGAGAAGGGGAGAAAGGTGAGTGTTTGGCTTCTTTGTTGCAAGCAAGTCACTTAGGCCCCTATGAGCCTTCAACTCTCCATTTGGAAAGTTAAATTAAATCACTTATATTTACAGTCCTTTAAGCATCTAATTCCTAATAGTTTTTGGGAGAGTGAGTACTTGAGAATTGCTTATCTTCTATATCAGGAGTCTGCAAACTATAGCCCGAGTTGGCAACAGCCTAATTTTAAATCTCTAGCGCCTAAAAATTTTTACACTTTCACATGTTGGTAAGGAAGGAAAAAAAAAAAAAGCAACAGAGACCAGACGATGTGACCTGCAAATCCTAAAATATTTACTATCTTGCCCATTACGAAAAAGTTTGCCAGCTCCTGTTCTATATAACAGTAAAAACCTGTTTCTCTTTGATTTACATCTTATGATCAGGTGTGCTCCTAGGATAAAACTTCAGATATCTGAATTGAAAACATTGAGAAAAGGGATTTAGATGGCAGTTCTCTGACTTGACCATCGTAATGCATCAGCCATTTGTCTGCACTGGGAGTTCCACACTTCAGGAGCTTGTTTCTTTTGCATGTACTTCACTCTGAGATGCCGCTACCCTGCTGCCTTAAGACTTTCCCCTATGCAAACCAGTCTTTTCATGTCAGCTTTTAGAGTTTGATCCTCCATGCCACCCTTTGATTATTTATAATCTCAAATAGTTCTGGTTGGTATATATTTTATATACAGCGAAGGGATCAACAAAGGCTTCAGGCTGAGAATTGGATATGTCCGAGACCTCTGGTTTATATAAACAATTGGTATAAATTGTTTTATAATAAGTTGTTTTTATAGAAATGATTAGTATAAAATAACTACTAATTATCAATTTTATAAATGTCTCAATTATGTTTTAAATTTCTGCACTGAGGAATTTGGTTTTGTTATCTAAAGCCTTGATAACATTCTAGAAACAGTGATTGTTAACTGGTAACTCAACACACTAATATTCTTCCGTCTTTTCTGAAGTGTCGCAAGTTAATTGTTACTCATACAAAGTGTATTTCTTTTGTGATTAATTTACTTTAAGAAAATAAATTAGAGAAAATTCGACATTAGCCTTCTGTTGCTTCACTTGCTTTTGATAAGTATTTTTGTGTGGGAGAGCAAGTTGTGGAGTTGCAGCTGGCATGCAGGGAATAGGTAAAATCTGCACCAATGCTGTCTGCCACCACCATGGTGAGGAACTAATATTGATGTGCCACTGAGATTTGGGTCACTTTCAAGTCTCTGTAATACTTTGTCCCTTTTTCAGTTTTTGAAAAATTTGGTCAAAATAAGGGTTTACCACATTGGGGTATGTTATGTCATGAGTTTATCGTGTCAGAAAAGAGGTTGAGAACTGATGTTCTAGCATCTATCTAGAAATACGAGTTTTTTTCAGATCTTATCTTGACGTTTTACATTATTTTACTTTAACAGCTTTGTAATATTCAGATTTTAAAATGCCTTTTTACTTTTTATATATCAGTGAGTTAATTGAGCCGCATTACTCTATAAAGTATAAATAAATACATAAATAAATGCTGGAATCAAATTCTCATGTCCAGAGCAACCAGCTATAGTTAATCTTAGTTATGCCATTTGAATTTAGGAGAATACTTCCTTTGTAGTGATAGTTTTTCCTTTTGGAACTCATACTTCAGTAGAATGTTTTCTAAGTTATTGTACTAAATTGTCACAAATGTTTATACTTGTCTTAAATTGTCATTTTTGGTCCTCATATTTTGGGTTAAATTTCCAAAGATTTTGAAAGTTAAAGAAGGAAGCATTAGATTATAGATGAAAAGTGTCATTTTTAGAATGGTTATATTTAGCTCTATACTTAAGAGATAGCTTATTTTTAGGAGGTTGACAATGAATAAAACTTTTAAACATTGATACTTTTGTATCTTGTTCTTGAGGAAGGGAGCAACTAAGTTTTTCTCCCAGAATTACTTTCAATGATGACATTTTATTATCACTTAGATTTAGTGATATGTATGTATGTATGTGTGTATATATAGATAGATATATGTATGTATGTATGTGTGTGTGTGTGTGTATATAGTATGTTATTCCTCTACGAGATTATATATTTTTGAAGTCAGTGTGTTTTCAGTTTGCTTAAGTTGTCTCAGGTACACCAAAACCTGACTCAGTTGGAAAAAAAGGCCAAGCCAACTTAGTGCAAAGTTTAAAATATGATTTTTAAAACATTGAATTCGTTTCTGATTAAAACTAGAGGTATACTTGAGGTGTCTTTCTTTTTATGGAAAATGCTTTTATTATATACCTTGTGTAATCTTTTATTGTTCACACCTTTAACTGAAAGCCTTTTCTTCAAATATCAACTTTTGGCTATCTTTGTTAAATTAATAGACTTTAAGAAGTATAATTCAAATTAATGATTTAAATTTAATACAGATTGAAAATGTTTTCAGTGACTTGATTTTTAAAGCAGGTACTATTATAACTAACTTGCTATATATTATATAATAAGATTGAGTATAGCTAATGTTTAGCTTCCCTCTTAAAATTTTCAGACTGCTTCTTGGTTTCAACAAACTTCATATTATAGGAACAACTCAGGAAAATATTACCTTTTAATTCCTTCTCCCTATAACATCCTTTAGAGCTGGCGCACTAAACTAGAACATTTTCATGTGTTTATGAATTTTATGTAAACTGAAAGAGTTTTGATTTCCCACAATCCTCCAAGGGCTGTTTATTAATATATCATATTGATATTTTAACTTACTTTTAGCAGCTGAGTTTAGTGAACATATATTGCGGAGTGCCTACTTTTAGGAGGTAGAGAGGAGAGTTAGACATGGCCTATGCCCCCAAAAGTAATCATAAGATTTACTTCATTTGAGCAACACTGAGATTGAAGGAACACTTGAAAGCTACTGTCTTGGAAACTTTTGAAGAAGTGTTTGTAAAATATTTAGAAATACCTAAGTCATGTCCATCTTTTGACCAGAAGAAATTTATATAAAAAGCCTTTTTTTAAAGAATGATTATCAAATATGCTCTTTTTAAAAAGCCTTTCTGACAGTTTTTATGTTTTCTGAGTTTCTAACTTTTTACCTGAAGCATCTCCTTAGTCTTTTGGAAAATGTCCCCTTCATAGTACTAGCCTTCAAACTATCAAAGTAAATTCTCATTGTAAAAGAAAGTTATCTTTGTGCTAGCTAACACAAAGGCTGTAAGGTATGATATGCAACTTATTTTTTTACATACTCTAGCAAGTGTTTTGTAATTATATAGTTGAGGACGGTGCATTTTGATATGTAGGAAGTTTATATTTTAAATTAAGCAATCACTGTCTATTACCATCAGATTATAGTAGTTTTAAAGAATATTTTAATACATGTTTAAAAATGCATGAAAATTTAGAATGTTAATAAATATGTTTAATAGCAATTGTGATTTTTTCAACATATTTATACATATATATAAAATGAAAATATCTGAAGATAAAACACTGTTATCTAAATATGCTGTGATGCATTATGCTCTCATTAATTCATCAGTATTACAGATGTTGGTGTGCTTTTAAACTATAAATGTCATATTTCATATAATGAGCATTTTTAAAGAACATTTAAGTCCTTTTATTTAAAAATGAATGTTTTTCTAGTCTCAGGCTAAAAATACCAATGTAAATTGTACATGGTAAGAGTTAGATACATAATTATAATATTGAATCTTCTTTAAATTTTTTTTTAACTTTCGTACAAAGTAGTTCCACATAATAACTCAAATACAGTAGAACAGGTTTTTAGATTCTTAATGCCTAAAGAATAAGTTCCTCATATGAGAAAAATTACAATGTCCATGTGTTTTTTTGTTGTTAAAACTGGCTTCCAAGATAAAGTTCAAATCTGTTCTTTTTTTCTAGTGATTAAAATGTAAGATTGACTTTGCTTAGTTCAGTGGATCAAAGCATCCAAACACCTTAAAAAATAAACCTCAAAAATAAAAAATAGGAATATCAGGTCAGGGTCTTAAATAGACAAGAATCTTGTATAGGTCGAAAACTAAGTAAACATCACCCCATTGAGAACAATAAATTGCATTTGAGACGGTTTGAATTTTTTTTAATGTATTTGTTCTGTCACTGATACCTAAGTATTTTGTTCAGCTCAAGAGAATGGAAAGCAGATCAAAACTTCATGTTTTCCCACTTGAGATTAATTTATTCAAGGCATACCAAACTTTCTAAATCCAACATTGTATTGCCTGTAGATGATATAGATTAACAATTGCTTCATGCCTTGTTGTTTGACCTGACACACTCTTCACAGGAAAATCATGTTTTGTGGTATGAGAACTTTAAAGAGGAACCTAAGTAACCCTTGACTATAATTAGAGTTCAAGTTTGCTTATTACTTGATAGAGGGGTAAGATGCCACCTTTAAAGAAGTAGACTTAGATGTAGTTGAAACCTGTAGCTTTAAATTATTGTCCAAGCCTTGTTAATCTCTGAAAGTTTTAAGGGGTATAAAATTATTGTTCAGCCATAACATTTCTTCAGAGATGGAGTGGTTATCCATAGCAACTGTTCAGTATATCTTCCATAGTCTTCAGAAGGCTTTTAGTTTCTGCTTATACATCCCAAGTCACAAAACCTACCTAGATAGAGAGTATGTTCTTTAAGAGAAGGTCTCTTGTAAAACAAAAAATTATATATATATATATACATACATATGAGTTGTATATGTATTTGCGTGTGTGTGCGTGTGTGTGTGTGAAGAGCTTGTAATAGGAAATTCCAGGTAGAAAGAGATTATAACCATAGTTCTCTTGGATTTTTATCTCTAGGTATCTCTCTCCAGTCAGATTTTAGTCCATGTTCTCTAGCTTCTGATGTTACCGTTAACCTACCTACCCTCTGCCATTTTTTAAGTTCACCTGGCCTAAATATGATTTCCATTGATCCAAAGTTGGATAAAAAAGAGTTTAGGAAATCAATAGGAAAAAATACAAAAGCTTAGACATTCACAAAGCACAAATTTATTCTAAGATGACAATAATAATTTCAAAACTTGTTTTCTGTTCTCCAGTATATCACAACCATATTTATTATTTTTTAATATATGACCTGATCTATCCATTCTTTCTGCCAAAGAAATAGATTTTCTGCATATTCAAAAGTATGTCCTTGGTGTTGAACCAGTTGCCAGTTTGTTTTTTTGTTTTTATCTTTTATTTTTTAAACTCGAAGGATCCTTCTTGTTCTGGACTCATTTGCAGACAGCCATCATTGAGCTCAGGATTGGCTGAGCAAGAAATCATTCTGGCTGTAGTTATTAATTCCTTTCATGTCTCTTGATGGACCATTTTAGCTCTCTAGAACACCTATACAAGCTGAAATGGAATTCTGATAAGGGTGGGGAGACACTTGAATTAGTTCTAGGAATTTAGAATTGAGACAGGTTCATTTAGATGAGGACGAGCCCCTGAATTTTAAGGTTAATAAATCAAAGTGAATGTCAATTCTGAGCAGAGAAGAACAACCTATAGGGAATAAAACAATCACCCAGCAAGCAGTAAAGGTACTATTCTGCCTAAAGAGTGTCCTTGATGGGTAAAAAAATTTCCTCATATTGGAGTTGATGTATTGTGTGTGACAGTTTGTTTACTTGTTCATTATTCTTTATTTGTAATAAAGTGAATGAAAATTGGGTTAGGAGTCTTTTACTTATTAACCATATTATCTGCATGCTAGTCAACTTTCTCAGCCTTTAAAATTTCCTCAGTCTGGTTCAAATGAAAAAGTGAATGTGAAGTACTTTTTTGTAAAGCTAGATTTTACTAATAAACCATCACAACTCTTCTCTATAAAATATGAACTATGAAAAAACTAAGAATATTGTTTAGGAATATATAACAAAGGAACAGACTATTGCTATTAATAAAAAGCTGCTCTAACCCCAGTTCTCTCTTGAGTAACACTCTGTACATCTTTATGAAGTCCACATTTACGAAAACCATAACAAGAAATTCTCAAAATCTTGAAGCATCTTCTGAACTACCAGGCAAAAAATAAATTATGTTTGATACTGTTTTCAAGTGTATTTTATAGTATTATAACTCTTTAAATAAATTATTCAATATGATTATGTGGTACCTACTTATTAACCAAATTTCCCTACTCCCCAGTCATGGCAGCAAAAGTTTATTAGGTACTGTAGATGCCCACTTATATGGTGAGGTTTTCTCCAAAAACCTTATCCATCAGAAAAGAGGGAGTTGCTTTATAATTGGGTCTTTACAAAGTCACATTACAGAACTTTCTCTTAATCACATAGCTGTGACAGCAGATTACTGCCTTGAGAAAATACTAGCATGGAAACGACCTCAATCAATGCTAGTTACAAATGCTTATAGAGATCAACTTAGAGATTCCCTAGAAAAGGTAGCAAAGAAATTTACTATAAATTTAATCACTTATTCTTCAAAGTCACTAGGGTGGATATCAATTTTAAAGATCACCTTTGAAAACAATACTGTATGTGATTATATTCTGTAAAGATAAAGAGATAATACCTATAAGATGCATTAGATACAATGTTATGCAAAGGAATAATTCCTGTGGGCATCTGTTGTAGACTGAACTGTATTCCTCCAAAATTCATATGTTGAAACCTTCACCCCCAATGTGACTGCATTTGGAGGCAGGGCCTTAAAAGAGGTTAAGGTTAATTAAAGTTAAATGAGATCAGAAGGGTATGGCTCCAATCCAATATGACGAATGTCCTTATACGAAAAGGAAGAGACACCAGGGATGCATGCACTCAGAGAAAAAGGCCATGAGAGAACACAGCAAGCCACGGAGAGAGGCCTCAGGAAAAGCCAAACCTGCTGACATCTTGATCTTGGACTTCCAGCCTCCAGAACTAAGAGAAAATACACTGTATAAGCCACCCAGTCTATGGTACTTTGCTATAGTGGCCTGAGCGGACTAATACAGTATCCTATATTCTCTTTCAAATGGCGGAGTTACCCAAAAGACGGAACTTCAGATGATGTGGCCTGGAAACCTGCTAGAAGACTCTGGGTGGCCCTGGTCATGAGGAAGAAGCCCCTGGCAAAGCCCCTGCCTGTGAAGAATTTGATTGAAATTATTTCATAAAATATGCACACAAAAAAGTAATGTTTTAAAAATAAATATTTTAATATTAAAAGTTAACATTTGACTATTCTACATCCTTTTAAGTTTATTGAGTGTCAAAAAAACTTTCTTTTGATGAGCTTTTATTGGAAAAATGGGAGATTGCCTTGTAATTAGGATCATGCAAAAATTTTTTCAGATGGGAATAAAGTATAGCCTTGCATATAAAGAAATACCATGTTAGTATAGATGACCAGTCGAATTAAGTTTAGAATGAAAATGACATTATTATGTGTAGAATTCACTTTATTAAAGTGAGTTTCAAACAAATGCTGTTTGGGTAAGTTTGGTGGAGGTCGATCCTATAGATACAGAATATAAGTAACTATTTGTTTAAAATAATACATCAAATTAGAACCCTCTCCTTTATCCCATACCCTAACATTAGGGGCCATCGTTTTCTGGTTCATAGGAGATGCTAGTATTTACTGAGTATAAATGCAGATGACCAGTCATGTCTTCTCATTTCTTTTTCTTTTTGGTGTTCTTTTTCTCTTCAGAAACCATGTGAATATTTCTCATCCTAGTGAGTTACAGATAGTCTCAAATTCTGCATTTTCTTGAAATGTTTACTCGGAAAAAAAAAAAATGTCTTTTCCCAAGTTTTTTAGTAAAGATATCTCATTGCTGAGAAAGGACTTCACTTTGAACTAGGACATGCACCAAAGTGGAGATACATGAAGCAGTGATTATAAAATAGGAAACAAACACAAGTGTTCTAGTCTAGTTATCTCTATGACAGAACTGACAAAACGCATGTATACACCCTTATCTTCAAAGTTTCCCTACCAGGAGAATTCCCACCCAAATCAGAAGCAACTGCACCAATCCAAAGAGCATTTCTTGTGAGGAGGTAAAACCTCATGAACCACAAGATGTAAATAAAAATAGGAATATTAGTATTGCCTTGTATTCAAATAAACATGAGGCAGTACATCGGAAATTGATAATAGGCTATAAACTGTATCATGAATTTTGGTCAAAGTGGGGATTTTTAGGTGCACATGTGTTCCATGCAAATGAGATTTAGGTGTGCCCCAATTCCACCTAGCCCAAAGAATGTAACGGTGCTGCCATGAAGGAAATCATGTGACTAAGCATCTGGGGTCTAAAAGAGGTTGAAATACAGTGTGCCCACAACCCTGGCAGTGTGTTTTTTCAGAAACAACTACCATCAGTTTGCTATGGTGTCATATTCTTGCAGCACTTAGCATAAGGCTGCATATACAATAGATGGTTAATAAATGCAGATTAAACCAGGAATTGTCAATGTAGTTTTGGAAAGCTGGGCAAGGGTGGGTACTGGGAACATTTTTTTTTTTATCATAATCTTACTTTTCATCATACAGGTATTTCTGTAGTACACACAAAAGAATCTGAAATTACAGGCATCTATGAGAAAATCGACCAGTATATTAAATTGAATAAAATGTATGCTGCTGGAAAAATGATCCTGGAATATTTATCAATGGCGTGGGTGTCGATCCTCATGCTCACGTAGCTGGTCCTCTGACTTTTCCTCTGGGGGGAGCTCCTTTCCGAGGCCAGGGCCAGCTGCACCATCATCCTGTCTGGCTTCTCTCCATTCTCTGGCATGTAGTTGCCCAGGTCATTCACCTCCACGTCGCTGTAGCTGCCATCCAGCATGACAGTGCGTGGCTGAGGTAAGCCACAGGTGCAGGGAAGCTGCGAACACAGCAAATACACGTTGGGATGCAAGCTCAGCTTCAACTCTCAGAAGCCATTCGAAAGAAACTGCAAGGTGGAGGGGGTGGCCTTTTTCTAGTCTCTTTTAATCCCAATTAGGGATGGGAGATGAGAAAATAATGGTGGTGGCACCGTAAACATTCTAAAATAGCAGGTCTTATTTTTGCTTACACATAACAACTCAGCAAACCACATCATATCAGAGACCAACAAGAATGTTTATAGTCAGGGAACTGCTCTGTTCTCCACGCGATCATTAACCAATAGGAGCCCTGATAAAAGTGTTTACAGATAACATTACTGAGAAACAGAGAGGAGTAGGGAAGGGGGAGTTTGAAAGAGGTGGCATTATGGGGATAGTTTACTACTACATAGAGAGTTTTCTGGAGGAGATAACCATTGAGCTGCAGACAGGAGAAAGAAAAGTCAGGTGGAAGGGAAAATAATCTGAGAAAAGATGAGAGATGTTTGAGGTTACACATGAGGAAAAAATTCCTAGAAGGAAGGATGTGCTTCCCTGGAAACTTCTTTTATTACGCCTCTAAGTTCATAAACAATTGGTTCCACCATGTTGAATCGTCATTTATTTTTATCACTAAACTATGAACACCACCAAGATTAAAGGAACTATGTGTTAGTAAACTTGCCTTAACACCTCCCGGTGTATGGTAGATGCTAAGTAAATGTTTGAATCAATGAAAAATAGAGCCCAGAGTAAATGTCACACTGTTTTGACATATTTTGTTTGCTCTTCACACCAACCCCGGGGAAAGCAGGTGAAGGAGAGGGCATCATTAACCCCATTTCACAGAGGTCTGATCTGCCCAAGGTCCAGAGCTAGACCGGGCTGCATCCCTTTAGCTTATAGTAAAGTCACCTTCTCCCGGAGCTTCCTTTCCTTCCGCTCCTGCACCGTCGTCAGGTAGTTGACGGCTGCGTACTCCAGCACCGAGAGGAACACGAACACAAAGCTGACCCAGAGGTAGATGTCCACGGCCTTGATGTAGGAGACGCGGGGCATGGAGGCGTTCACGCCCGTGATGATGGTGGACATGGTCAGCACCGTGGTGATACCTGCAAACAAAGTGAGAAATAAGCACGTGTTTGCCTTTCACCAAGCACACCAGATGACCGTGCCACCGTTCTTTGTCCTTCCTGCTCCTTCGGCCTAAAATATCTCCATCCCTGTTCCTCAGTCTAGCAAACACCTGCTCATCTTTCAAGATTTAGCTTTTATGAAGCCTCTCCTGTTCCTCCACCCCTCAAGCTTACTCTTCTCCCCTCTGTATACCTCATATTCATTGTAGCACCTGTATCACTTTCTTCTCCTAAGGGATCCCCAGACATTCTGGCAGTAAGATTTATTTCCATTCATTTGTGTTTAAAACAAAGATTACATATATGAGCAGATATATATGTTTCTTGTAACTACCTCTCTAAAAAAGGAAAAAAGTACACCAGATTTACTTTAATATTTGTGTCCTTGTTGCTAGTCCTGTAGTCTCAGGCCTCTGTCATCAGCTGTCAGGGCATCTCTGGCAGCCACCCCCTTGCTGGACCTGTCTGACTATTCAGCAGTGTCCAGTTTTACCAAGGATGATGATGTTAACCTCATTTAAGGGAGACAGATATTTAAAACTAGAATGTATGTTTATTTAGTACAGTAACTGTTTAAGCTATAGAACAACTGTTAAAGGACAAGGCATCTGTCAGTGGAAATTTCCTCAGGATTTCAAATTAAGCTCAGAACATTTGTTTGGCAGACACCAAATCACAGGGGATTGGGGTCATCTTAAGGGCCATGTCCAATCCAGTTTCACTGAAATCGGGTGGGTCACCCTCTCTTTTGAAGCCCCCAAATGATATGAGCAATGGTGGTGTGTGATTAAGTGGGCATAATACTTAAAGTGGGGGTAGAGTCGATGGCAAATAGCTATCAATGGAATTCTCATAGAGCAGGGGTTCTCAGGCTTGAGCACGTATAAGAATTAATGGGAGAGCTTGTTCAAAACACAGGTTTGTGGTTCTCTCTCAAGATTCTGATTCTATTCAGGTAGATGGGACCCAGCGTTCTTCATTTTTAAAAATTTCCATTGGAGATTCTGTCACAAAGATCCCCTGGGCCAGTTTTTGAAAAATCCTGTTGTAGAATGTCATTTCCTTATGCGAGCAGACAGAGAAAGCACCCACAAACTAGGATCACCCACCCCAGGATACGGCTCAAACGAGACTAAAGATGGGCTGTTTGCATGGGCACTTATGGAGACCTGGAAATGAGTTTTCTAGATTTTTAATAATGGCATTTCACCTGTGAATGAATAATTTGAAGTGTTTCCAAGTTATAATGCCAATGGGTTTAGGACCAATCTGAAATGAATGGTTTTATCTGGAAGGAATTATTTATATTTTCAGATACCTGGAATATGCACTTAAAATATTCCTTACCTAAGGGGACTCTGGCAGGCACAGCTCTGCGGTCGATCCAGAAGGACACCCAGGACAACATGACCATCAGGGTGGCGGGGAAATAGGTTTGGAGCAAGAAGAAGAAGATGTGGCGACGCAACGTGAAGTTAATGTACAGACGGTTGTACCAGCCTGGGGGACACAGGAAGACAAGACAGCACACACCAGAGCTACCCAGCTCCTTCATAAAACAAATTTTATTCAGGGAATCATAGATGCCTTAGACACTTCACTGGAAACTTACCACACCTTTACAAAGTAGAGGTGAGAAAAACCATGGAACAGAGGGATTATATTATACCCACATCACAGGGGCAAATCCATCTCAATAAATCTTTGACCCCTGTCCTATACATAAAAGGAACCCCATGAGAAGGTCATTTAAGACTCTTGTTACTCAAACTATGGGATAGGACCCAGCAGCATTACCATCACCTAGGAGCTTAGAAATGCAGGCTCTTGATCCCCACCCTAGATCTACTGAATCAGAATCCGCTTTTAACAATACTCCCTTTGTGATTCATACGCACATTAAAGTTTGAGAAGTACGGATTCAAACAATCCCCTTTGGATCTCTTTATGGAAGAAAATTAGTTTTAAGTTAAAATATCAAGCTAAACACAACACTGCATTTAGGAACAGAGTGAACAATCACAGGTCCCGTTGTGCTTCGGCTTGGCCTTTGTGTTCTTAACAAGGGAAAAATATGCATGGAGGAGTTGAAAGAAATAGAGGAACAATGAAAGAAAGAGGAAAAAGCAGGATACGCTTGAGATGATGAGAACTAAAAAGAAAATGAGGACTTGGCAACATTAACTTGAAAACTTGGCATCCTGGGCAATTACAAAGCACTATTTATAATTGTAACAGTTCCAGAAAGTAATTGTAGAGGTGCTACAGACCAGCGGTCCCCAACCTTTTTGGCACCAGGAACCGGTGCTCCTATGAAAATATAATGCCCGATGATCTGAGGTGGAGCTGAGATGCTGATGCTAGCATTGGGGAGCGGCTGCAAATACAGATGAGGCTTCTCTCGCTCACATGCCGTTCACCCCCTGCTGTGTGACTCAGTTCCTAACAGGCCACGGCATCCCAGTCCATGGCCCCAGAGTTGGGGACTCCTGCTACAGACCGAATGAATGTTTGCGTTCCCCTAGAATCCATACGTCGAAACCTAATGCCCAATGTGATGGTATTTGGAAGCGGGGCTTTTGAGAGGTGGCCTCATGAAGGGGAAGCCCTCGTGAATAGGATTAATGTCCTTATAAAAAAGACCACAGACAGCTCCCTCACCCCTTCCACCTTGTGAGGACACAGTGAGAAGGTGGTTGTCTATGAACTAGGAATCGGGCTCTCATCAGACACTGAATCTTCCAGCACTTCGATCTTGAATTTTCCAGCCTCCAGAACTGTGAGAAATTAATTTCTGTTGTTTAAAAGTCACCCAGTCTGTGGTGTTTTGCTATGGTATCCTGAATAGACCAAGACAGCAGGGAATATCAGAATGCTAAAGGTCATAGGAATGGGAGTCCCTTGAAGAACCAAGACTCGTGCGTGATATATACAGAAGATAAGATGTGCTGGATTGTCAAGGTATGTTGGAAGAATAATGCTGCCTGCTGTTATAGATTAGAAACACTTAAAGGTTGCTCTTCCCTGTGCAGTCAGTCATACAGTGTTTTAGCAATAGAGACTCCATAAGGATTGGAGCAAAATCATCCTGAAAAGTGATTACTCAATAAAGAGGCAAGAGTTGGAGAGCACAGGCCTCAGCTGTTAACCTCAGCTGCCAGGAGGGAGACCACAGAGCGTGTCCTCAGGAGAAAGGGGTTGGCAAGCCTGTCCAGACCCTTGGTTCAAAAAACAACGGCACTGCCCACAGGAAAATGACCAGGTTCCTGCACCAAGGCTCGCAAGAAGGTCATAAGAAGGACCTGTGCAAGCAGTATAGTGAGACGTGATTGATTTACAGTGGAGCACCCCCAAAGGGGTTGGCTGAAGCAGAGAGAATGTAAATGGAAACAGGCCTAATATTGGACTGTTTCTCGCCCGCAGAGGAGGGGGCTCTGGTAATCATATCAGGAGTAAGATGCCCACTGCTACACTGGCAATGTGATTGTCTCAGACAAACCTCCTCACATGCCTTATTTAAGTCCTTACTAATATTTTCTAGGTTATCACTCCTGACGCTTGGTGGCATCAAAAAATCACCTCCACTCAATGCTCGCCACCGTCTAGACCTGATTTAGGATTCCCATCTTCGGTTTCTAATTCAAGCGGCGCTGGCTCTGCTCACTTGACAACCAGTTCACACCTTTTCTAAAATAGAGGATGACCCACCCTCGCCTGGCTAGCACATGCCACACACCTGTGCTGCTGTAGTAGGCCAGTTTCGTGGTTGTATGGAATTCTTGAATAAGGAACTGGGAGAGTGAGATCCGCTCATCTGTCTTTAAGGAGTCGTTGCCTTTTTTCCAGTATAGCATGAGGTCATCTTCCGTATAGGCATCTGAAAAGATGAGAGAGCATCAGGCACAGAACAATGGGAAGACTGGCCTGTCTGTGCGGCTCTGTGGGAGCTGCCCTCAATCTGCCACACAAAATATTGGGATTGTAATGGATCGTTTGCATAAACAAACTGCACTCTAAACAGAGAAAAACAAAATCCAAAAAGATACATCTAATTCTCCCGTCTTCTGGAAGTCATCAGAACAAAGCTCTTGAGCCTAAATGCTCATAATTCCTGCAAAAGGGCTCACCTTGCAATTCGGCCTGCCATTTATTAGGTTAAACCAAATGAAATTGATGTTTTTGAAGATTAGAAACTGTAATTTGCTCTGTTTAAAAATCTTTTGCCAGTTAAATGATAGCGAAATTTTATATGGTTTAGCCTTCTAAACCAGGGTAATTTGGCCCTTTCCTTTCTTCTTTCAAAGTATAGTGATGCATCATTGATAGTGAATACCGTTGAACACTCTCAGGTAATAAGGGTTGCATTCTAGCAAGAAAGGACCAAGTCCCTTCTTAGTAGGCCTCCAGTTGCTCCTACCCAAGGTAAAATTAAAGTGATTCCCCCGTGAGGATCATTCCTTCTGGTGCTATCACTTCCCCAGCCTCTGGCACTTTAGGTGAGTACACTTCTTATTCCAACTGAACACATCTACTTGCAGCCTGGGCAGAACAGGTATAAACCTAACAGAGATGTGAGTCCAGTCTGTTCATGTATATAAAGTGCTTTCCAGGGCTCACTGATGCTCTATTTTATTCCTTTCTTTTATTCTATTTCTGACCTTTGACCTGTGTGGTAGTTGGTTTCATGTTTCCTTTGGGCTGTAGTACCCAGTTTTTCAATCAAACACTAATCTAGGTTTTACTGAGAAGATGCTTTGTAGAACTAACATCTACAACCAGTCACTTTAAGTAAAGGGGATGATCTAGGATACCCTGGGTGGGCCTGGTCCAACTCAAAAGGCTTAAAAGCAGACCTGATGTTCTCTGAGGAGGAAGAAATGCCGCCTGTGGATGACCTGATGTCCACCTACTGCTCCTACTACTGAAAGTTGGTCAGAGGTGTTCAGAATTACTCAGGAGCTATATGCTGATGTCTGGCACAAGGCTACTCACAGCTCTCGATTTCAAGTGAGCACGTTTGTGTGTCCAGAGGAAACCGGCTGAAGTCCATGTTGCACATTGCAGTCACGGTAACCCTAGAAACAAAAGACAAAGTCCAGATTTTCAGAGGAAGCAAAATACACGTGCAAAATGCTAAAACAAACAGAAAGAGCCTCTGCTTCCTTCCAATGTAACTGCCTCTTTCCTATAATTCATAAGCAATGTGTCAGGCTTAAGATGAGTAGTTAATGAGTGATACCCTCACTGTAATACTCTCAAGTATTTATGTTTAAGTCCGGGGTCAGTGTGAAGCAGATAGAATGCCTCTGCTAATTCCTATCATATTCGAGCATTTTAAAAAAGCAATAGTCTCAATCAATATAACAATGTGAAATAAACTCATATGATACAGTTTCTTCAAAGAAACTGTAAGACCATATATAGGCATAGACCTCTTTTTATTGTGCTTCTCTTTATTGCACTTCACAGATGTGTTTTTTAGAAATTGAAGGCAAGACCATCCACCAGCAAAAGGATTACTATTCACTTTATCTTTGAGATATGGAACCAAACCCACAATATCTCCAAGGTATGCCTATATTGTTCTTCTGTTTTAGACAAATTTAAGTTCTTCGGTTCTTTTCTTGATTATATTGATATTTAATATTTATGTACAATACTTCAGCAATATTAAAAAAGCACTAACACCAGTTGCCAAATTCAGCACTTTTTTACAATGTTGATATTTTTATATTGATAATATCTACTAGTGGACATAGGTGTTTTTAGTAGATAATAGTAATAAAAATCATAGTAGTGTAAAAACACTGAAAGATCTTACTGTACCAACATGCAAGCACTTGCTGACATCTAATGGTTTTGTTTCCAAGTTGACACACACAAAAAAGCTTCTGCATCAAAGAATAAACAGAGATATCATCAGTCACAGAAGATCTCCCATCCAGTGGGGAAATCTCATGGCAGGTCATTGGCTGGTATTGAATATACTGTTTTTTCTTCAACTACAGAAAATTGGCTATACACATGTTGTGGAAATTATATAGATAATTTATGGCCAAAAAGAAAAAAAAATCACTTTTAATTTAATGGAAATTTCAAAGAAAAGATCTTTCTTAAAACTGAATCATCCAAATATTTGTCTTATTTTCCCCATTCCATTTGGTGTGGAATGCTTGTGTTCTGGAGGAATTTTGTTTTACTGGCAGCTGGGTAGTCTTATCTCCCCTGGATATGCTAATTAAACAGGTTATGTTGGGGGTGGAGGTTCATCAGACTGATTCTTTGCAGCCTGACTTGACACTTTTCCACTTGAACCCACACAATGAAAGAGCACAGTTTGTGGTGAAATCTATCCTGTCTGTTTTTTGTTTTCCCAAGTCCCTTTAAATTAATTCACTGGGAGATCTTCACTTGTCTTCCATGGAAACTTAGCAGGTCCTGTGATTTTTCTGCTCACTCTCATGTAATAGAGAGTCATACCTTTGTAACAAAACACATCTCAATTCAGAAATCAAAAGAATTTTGGTTCGAGATAGTAACCAACTTCGAGCTTCGTTCAAATCAAGACTTCTCCTCCTCCGCCCAGCTGAGGTACAGCGTTGGCATTCAAATGGTCTGTTTCTGCCCATGCCTGATCATCTCCTGCATGGATATGAGTAGAAAAGGGAGGTAGGAGCAGGACTGTTCTTAGGCTAGGTGGCTTCACGATCTCTAAGCCTGCTACATGGTTGAAGCTGAGACTTTCTTTCCTGGGTTCTTCTTTCTCACTGCTGGGTACCTTCATTCTCTAGCAGCTACAACCCACCCTATCTCTTGCTTGACCCACCCACATTTCATTCCACACACACTTAACTATTGTCGACAACCCTAGGAATGCAAATTGATCCCACCAGAGCATAAGCTTCTCCTAGCTCTTCCCCCTGGGGTGGTTAGACAGTTCTTCTCTCACCCTCTAACTATGCAGTAGGCACACATGTACCAAAGACTCTGAGTGGTCCCAGAGCAAGCCCACTCATAGCACCTCCACAGCTCTCTTCTAAGAAAAATCTCACAACTCTTTTTTTCCTTCCACATCATTGACTTTTCCATATCTTGAAGTTGACTGGAAGTTCAAGAGCCACAGCATTGGTTTTTCAACATTTCCTTAATAAAATCTATCTAGCATGATAGAGTATCTCATTTTTGAATTCACTTATTGTATCTTGATGCCTAGGAAACTTCTATCACCTTCCTATTACCTGTCGCTCCCTGCCCTCCCATCCTCTGCGTGGAGTCCATACCTCTAGTTGCATTCTAATCATCCAGTTCCATGTTAATCTCCTCCACTAGCCTGAAATCATGCTGAGGGCAGTGACATATCATTTCACCTTATGTCCCCAGAGCTTAAGACGGAACCTGGCAGGGCTTTCATATATACAACTCTGGGGCCACCCTGGCACCCAAAAGGTCTTAATAAAAATTTATGCTGTTGAATGAATAAATGAGTGGACGAGGTAAGAGGATGGTATATTAGGATGTATTTTAGGAGTTAACTTGTGCTGACAGAGTTGACAATACCCAGCTACTCCATGCTTCCTCCCAAATAAATCTCAAAGTGGTAGTCCTCAGTAATCTAGGCCTCTTCTTTTCCCCTCTTAAATCAAACAAACCCATGACTTTATTTGCAATAAAAAAATCAAATCACGTGTCTAGGAACAAGGAGGCTCACTGATGACTTTGATCCTGAACATACAGGAGGTTTTTCATGCTCTTGTTTTCTCTGTTCTTCCTTGTGAGGTCACATCCAATGATATGCTGGATTGGACATCTTTCAGCACATGAGAGCTGACCAATAGAGTTTCAAGGAGTTTGCAAGCTGGTTGTTAGACATAGCCTTATTAAAAATTAAGTTACATAAACTTAAAATTAAATAAGTTACATTAAAAATAAAAGTAATACTCAAAACTCATCACTTCCTAATTATTTTATTACATTTTACTATTACCTATACTCCTGAAGTTACCTACATCTATTATGTTTATATGGTGAAAATACTATCTAATGGTGTGTTGCCACCCATTTCTTCCCACTCTGCATTCAGTGACATCAAGTTGGTAGCTTGAAATTAGCCATGACAGGCATATTTACATTACAGAATTTGGCAAATGCTACCAATTAGGCTAGAATTATTGTTTATTGATTGTCTAAACTAAACTCAGGAAAGTGATTGTCTAGATTTATGAGAGCAGATTAAACCGGAAAATGTCAAAGTTCTAAAATGTATCCAAAAAATGGGAATCAGAGAGGTCGAAGGAGAGAAGACTGAGAAGAATGCATTATCTATTTCTCTGACTTCTACCAGAGAAATAATTTTTATTATAGTAAAGTTTTTCAATGAAACATAACATACAGGATAGGGTATAAATCATAACTATCAGCTGGAGAATTTTCCCCAAGTGTATTTTCAAGACTGAATAATTCTTTAACTTTGTACTCATGTGTACAGTTAGTTTTACTTGATGTTGAAAAGTTGGAAGCTCCCGAAAAGTTAGAAGCTAGCTCTTTGCCAGAAAGCAAAGAGCTGTTGTGGAAACAATGATTTTCTTGGTTAAAACAAATGATTTGCTTTCCTTCCATGCTTCCGGTGTAAAAGAGTGCCACGGGTGAAAAGGCGCGGGGTGCGGCGCGGGGTGCGGCGTGGGGGAGTGGGGCGGGGCCTGGAAGGCCCTTACCGAAGGCTGTAGAGAACTTTCCCATCCGGCTGGACCCGCAGCATGACGTTGTCCGTGGTGGTGTCGTGGATGAAGGAGCGCTTGGAGTGCACAAAAAACATGTCGGGGACCCAGATCTTCTTCACCAGCCGGCCGTCAAACGTCATGCTGAGGTTGTTGGTGCTCGGGAAGGACAGCCTCTCATCCTTCCAGTAGTGCCTCAGGTAGAGGGTCATCGTGAAGTCCTGGGGCCAGAGGGCAGAGAGGGGAACTCCACACACTGAACCCATGGGGTATCAGCAGGACATTCTCTACTTCCGTGGAGCCATCACCTGGCTGGGAAATGAAACTGAGCACCATGAGATCTTGCTTCTAGTCTCTGCGGTTTGCTGCAGTAGGAGGAAGAGGACACTGCAGAAGAACTCAGCAAGAGGCCTCTAAAGAAAGGTGTCCCTGAGCTCCTCATCATTCCCTGTCATAGCCTCCACACTGAGAAGGCTGCTACTGCCAGCACCGTGCCCCTCCGCCTGAGGGCTCCCAGGCCGACACACAGGGCAAACTAGAGGTGCCAGAGTTAATGCCTCTGGAAGCAGCCTTTAGCCAGAGAGGGGAGCTGGGGAGTGAGGCAGGTGGACAAGTGCCCCAGCTCCCTGGCTCCTCGGTTGAAATAATCCCAAGGCGTGTTCTGTCCTGACTCCCAGAGTACCCCAGTGGGACAGCATTTCATACCCTGGTAGTAACTGGTTCCATGGCATAGCCACTTTTGCTTCCTTCCCTTCCTTCTCTCACCTCTCGACTCTTTTTTTGTGTTTCCTGGCATTGACTCCCAGATAAACTACTTGTGCCAGAATACTGTCTCAGGTCTACTTCTTGGGGAACTCAAGCTAAGATAAGGCCCTAAAAGTCCTATAAGTCAAGGAGTTCTAGAATGTTTATATATATATATATATATATATATATATAAACCCACTAAAAAGGGAGAACTGAGGGAACACATCTGCTTCTTTTGTGTTTCCACAACAGGACAGAATCCTTAGTAGCAGAATGTGCTTGGCTATTTGGCAGCTGCAACTTTGGACCCTGCTGTTTATGTTTGAGAGCCTTTGCCCAGAGAACGCATCCCTTTGCCAAGAGACTGGTCCCTGGAGGGGGAAGATCAACTTTGTCATCTGGCTCTGTTTCATACCAATTGGGTGGCTTTTGGCAAGTGTCTAAACCTCCTTGACCCATCTGTAACAATGCCCAGTCCCTGGGGAGTTGTGAGACTCAGCGAATTCAGGGTGCAGAGCTCTGCCCCAGAGCAGGGCCTGTGTGGATCCCCCTGCCCGCAGCCCCGGAAAGAGAAGCACTTACCATGTCGACCTCTGATATACTGTCCAGACTCTCCACCTGCACATCCACACCAACAGGAATGGCCGGGCCTGTGGGCAGAGTGTGGCAAAAAGCATTTATTCTTTTTACTTGAACTTTTACTGTGGAAGAGATAGGCCTAAGAAACATTTTATTTGGAACCTTGGTGTCACGTCAGAGTTGAAGTTTTGGTGTTCTCACATGCCAAGATGAAGTCAAACCAGAGAGAAAAAGGGGTGGAACCATAGGCTGGCTCTCTAGACCATTCCAGCAAAGGTAAAATTAATTGTTTTTTGTCTGAATCATCCCAAGTGATTCTGAAACAAGGAGATTAATATATATATGGTTATACATGCTCATCTAAAGGTACAATGAAGACCAAGGCCAAAGCTGATCAAAACTAGTTCTGATCTAAGGAGTTACTCCTTAGCATGAGGTCATCCACTTTATTTTATATATTTTCCTCCTGATTTTTCACCCTCTTTCATCATGGAAGTCAACGTCTCTGTCTGGCCACGAGGAAAGCATTGCTTGATAAATAGGCACCCATAGCCAAAGTCATACTCAGATGATTTTCCGGGGCCATAGAGCTGCATCTTTGCCACATGACGAAGTAGCTTCCAGGGGGGACATGATACACAAAGTTGGTCTTGAAACCATTCGATTTTTTTTTGGCATTTCTAGGCCATGAAAACTTAATATTCATAAAGGGTAAAAAAAATTCTAAAGAAAGTAGATTGCTGCCCTTTTTCCTCCCTGCTTCCAGGCACGTAGGGCAAGCACGAAGCGCATTTAGATCATTGTGGAGTGAAAAAGTGAATTTGGACCCAACAGCAACAGACTATAGGCTAGAGACTCCCTTCTAGAACTTGTTTATTCTTTGGGTGAAGGTGACTGGAAGAAATAAAAGGCATGAGAATGACTTCTAAAATAAATATTTTTTCCCAGGGGGGCGGAAAACCCATGAGGACAAAAACCCTATTTAACACTAAGAGGGCTGAAATCTCACAGCTGCAGGCTAAGCTTTAAAGGGCTTTGGCATCCCTTTGCACAAAATGATTATTTTCTCAAGCTATTTTCATTTAATTAAACTCAGCAGACCACACTCTGCCCTTAGATATGTACCCAGGGTTCTGTCTGTCAGCTCCCAGATGAGAACAAATTTAGTCCAAGTTTGTTATTTTGGAGAATTTTCAGGAGGCAGCTTTGAGCAGCAGTTGCCCCATCTTCCTCTTGCCCCTCCAACAGCTAGCTGCTAGCCTCACTGATCCTGAGCCGTCCTTGTTAGAAGCAGTGGCCTGAAGATAGCTTGGCTGGTCTGGTCTGGCTACTTACTAGTGGGCACCTCCTGAGAATAGTTCAGCAGAGCCCGGGCCGGACTGGGCAGGGCAAATGCTCAGAAGATGCTGTGAACTCAGTGCCTTGTTCACTGAGCACAGAGACAGACTTGATCAGGGGAGAGCAAAGCTAATTGATTTCTGCTCATAGACAGACAGACAGACAGACAGACATGAAGGAAGAAGACAGCTCCCATGAGTGCACGTCTCATACCTCCAAAGCCAGGCCTCATGCTAAAATCATGGTCATCTATCCTCAGAAGCTGCTCTGACTTCGTCAGTGGTGATTTGGTGATGTCTGGGCTTCGTTTCAGAATTGGGCTGCAGAAGGGGAAAAAAAACAGGTTGATCACATATTCTAATTAAGCCATATTTTAAAAATTTGCATTCAGACTTAATCTTGACAGGTTCAGTGGGATACGTTATCTCTTCTTTTAAGCTACTAGATATCCTCTCTTCCTTTCTCCAGCTTTCTGGATAAATGAACTGACTCAGGTCTAAGACAGTGATTTACAACTATGTCTGTCTGAGGAGCTTTAAAAATACAGGTTTCTAGGCCCCACTTCAGATTTTCTGATTTGAGCAGTTTGGGAATGGGGCCTGGACATGAGTATTTTTTAGATCTTCCTAGATGACTTTAATTTGTAAGCAAGGCCAAGAACTACTGGTCTCAGCCTTATTAATAAGTCCAAACTCCCCCAAAGCTCCTTGGCTGTTCTGGGAGGTTTTGAGCCTAAGAGGAAGGACAATGAGTGTGGGCAAACCCGGCACTCTGACCTCTGTTGGCCTCTGTAGCGGGAGAATGGACTTTCCCTTGGGTCAAATGCCAACCATCTTGGCTCCTTGGGAGGGAGTTTTTTGTGCTTTTACTTCTGAATTGCACCTAGGGACATTTTGTTTTCACTTTTTCTAAATAGGTAATATATTTGCAAGGTTTGACAATTTTTTAAAAAGAAAATGCAGTGAAAATTTGGTCTCCCACTTCTGCCTCCATTCACCCCAATCCTTCATCCACAGGTACCTCTTTTATTGGTTTCTTGTCTATCTGTCCAGACTTCCTGTAGGTACAAGTAAATACAAATACATATTTTAATTCTCCTATTTCTTCCAGTTTTATTGAGACATAATTGACACATAACATTATATTAGTTTTAGGTGTACAACATGATGATTTGATATATGCATGTGTTGTAAAATTACCACAGTAAGTTTAGTTAGCTTTCATCACCTCACATAATTACCATTTTTTTCTTATGATGAGAACTTTTAAGAACTACTCTCTTAGCAGCTTTCAACTATACAATATTATATTATTAATTATAGTCACCATGCTGTACATTCAATTTCCAGAACTTATTTATCTTTTAACGGAGTATGTACATTTTGACGCCCTTCACCCATTTCACCCATTTGACCCCCACTTCTGGCAATTACCAATCTCTGCTCTTTGTTTCTACTAGTTCTGTTTTTTTTTTTTTAGATTCTACACATGAGTGAGAATCTAAAAAAATCATATTGTGTTTGCTATCATGTCGTCACATATGGTCTCCTATTTTATACACAAAGTTAACATGTTATATAAACTCTTCTTATGTTTCCTTTTTTCTTTATTTAATTATATTTTGGATTTTTTTTTCCACATCAAAGTATCCCAAGCTTCTTGTGCTTTTTTATACCACATAGTGTTCCATTACATGGATGCACTGTAATTCACGTGACCAGTTCTCTGTTGGTAGACATTTGAGTTGCTTCCAGTCTTTTGCTATTACAAAAAATGCTGCAATGGCCTTTAACCAGCTTCATTTACTCATCAGCACCATCTGCAGAATCCACGGAAACAATTACCTACCTTCCCACCTCTTACTTATACTAACACCAGCCTGTTCTCCCAGGGTGCCGCCTCCCACACACTTCCTTTCCCCTGGATGCAGGAGTGCCCAGACTTTGGCCTGCATCAGCATCTCCTGGAGAGCTTCTTCGAACCTAGATTCCTGAACATCTCTTTTCCCGGAAAGTTTCTGATTCAGTAGGTCTTGGCTGAGGCCCAAGAATTTGCTTCTCTAAGAGGTTCCTAGATGCCATGATGGCTGCTGCTGGTCAAGGGATAGCACTTTGAGAACCATTGACCTAATGCGTTTTATCCTCAACATGCACAATTTCCTCCCTTAAAACTAATTTAGTCCACCTTTAAGTACTTTGCTATCTTCTTTCTTGAAGAAACCCTTTATCACTCTGAGAGAAAAATGTGACTGGGAGACAGAAGAACAAGGCTGTGACTTCCACTCTGACACCGCCTGCTCTGTGCCTTTAGGCAACTTGTTTCCCTGAGACCTGAGACTCCCATTACCTCAGCTGATAAAAGGTAAAGCTCTGTGACCTGACAAGGGTGCCAAGAGCAAACTCTGAAGTGGCACACAAATGGAAGGAGCCATTGTCATTACTGAACTGAAGTTCCCTTCTAAAGCAAGGAAATTACTTGGCTATGTGTAAAGCCAGATGAGTGATAGATAATTGGGGGGATCATTTCATAAACTATATAAATGTCTAACCAATGTACTGTATACTTGAAACTAATAATAAAATAAAATAAAATGCTAAAAAAAAAAAAAGAAAGAAATCTGGAAGAAGCAAGGAAGCATTCTTCCTTAGAGACTTCAAAGGAAGCCTGGCCCTGCTGACACCTTCTTTTGGACTTCTAGCCTCCAGAACTATAAGAGAATAAATTTCTGTTATTTTAAGCCACCACATTTGTGGTAATTTGTTATGGCAGCCCTAGGAAATGAATATATACAGTCTTCTATAAAATAAAAACTATTTTCAACATACAAAACAAAATTAAAAAATAAAGTAAGAAAATTACTGTGCCCACAGCAAAGGAAACGGCCCAGGGAAAGAATTCGAACTAGTGAATCAGGACCCAAGCTACATGGCTTACAGATCTAAGGTAGAAAAAAGCTGGGAACTTCAAGAGGAGGAAAGCCAGTCCCCATTGCCACCCAAATTCTCTCTTCTCTCCCAGCTGGAGCCAGGAACCCCGTCCCATCTTCTCCTTTTTGGTTCTCCCTTCTTCTTGTCCCCTACCCTCTGCTTCCTGCTCCATGATGGGGTTGAGGGTGCTGCTGAGAATCACTACAGCTGAGGTGTGGAGAAGAGACATCTTTAGCATGGTGTGTGTGTGCCCAGGAACATGCCTGCTTTGCTATGGACATCTTTGTGCTTCTCGGCTCTGTCTTTGAGGCCTACTACGAATGTTAAAAATAAAGGGATGCTAGAGACATTCTAGATACTCAAATCAACAAAGCACCCCTCACCCTCCAGATATGCTCCATATCTAACTAGAATAAAATATAAAAGAAAAAAAAACTATGACGCTGCAATGCATTAGTTTAGCCTTTTGAGGAGCATTTCTCTAGTACCCACAGGTGCAAGGATTGGAGGATTAATTACTTAGAAGGCCTGATTTGAAGAGGTCTGACCTAAAACATCTCCCCCATTGGTCTACCCAGGCCCGAAACTGATGCCATCCTTAACTTGGGTCTACCATGAACCTGTTAGTATGGAGAGTAACGCCTTTCCAGGTTGACTATATCACTAGGGCAGCCTTGCCCTCGGCTTATGAATTCAGCCAAATGGGCACTGGCAGGAGATGAGAGAGTAGAGTGTTTATTTCTCCTTCTCTCCCTGCTTTTGTGCCAGGGAGTAGCAATGTCTGTGTTGCTCTGTGATTATCTATAATCACTGTACTTCAATAAGCACCAATAATACTATTTCCCTTTCAGGCCTGTGGGTACTCATCTCATGGCTCCCTGCTGTTGCTAGTCCTTGAGGGTATCGGCACACCTGGTTGGTTCCCTGAAACCTGCCTACAGCTCTGTGAGTAGTCCCTTTATTTAATTTGGTTAAGCCCTTTTGAGTGCAATGCTGTTTTCTGCCAGGACTTGACTGATGCACAGGGGCACATCAGGACTGATGCATAGGGATTATGTCCTCTGTAACAAAATGGAGCAGAGACAAGCGTGGGCTCTGCAGGAGTGGGTCCAGGAGTGGGGAAGAGCTAACCCTGAAGGGAGGGCTGCCCTTGGGGGTTACATGCCATCACAATGGATAGTCAGCAGGAGCAGGATGAGGCCACAAGTCACCGAGGGCAGAGGCCTCTTCATCTTCAATACCTGGCACAGTACTTAACCCCCAGGGCTCATGACACATATTAGGTGAAAGATGGAAGGAGTCAGCCCCTCAGATGGGTACCTGAAAAGGGAGGCAGGAAGGATCGAAAGAGGGGGTTGAAATGGAGATCGAGCCTGGCCCAGATTTATACTTTGGCTTTGGGCCAGCCTGAAACAGAACTAGACACTGACTAAAGGGAAGTTTGTCAAATTCTGAGATGCCACTACCTTTGCTTTCATGAAGCTTAGGTTCTAGCCTAGAAGAGGCTAGTAAATAAGATACATAAAGTCTTTTCATTGTTGTTTAATATTTTAAAATAACTTAAAATTTTTGGAAAATAAATCTATGTATAAAGGAGAGGGTAATAACCTGAGCCATTCTTTATATATCCTTACAGTCAAGAAAGACAGAGACAGAGAGACAGAGAGACAGAAGAGAGAGGCAGATAGAAATGACACTGTAACTTGCTTTTAAATTCAAGTTGCAATGTATCATGAAATATTTTTCTTGTCATTGGAATCTTTTTACCAGACAGGGATATAATTATTAATCTTGAAATGAAGGATAACACACAGTAGATAATAGGGATAGCTAATACTACTTGAGTACTTACTGTCTGCCAGGTACTGCGCTAACTCATATTCAATGTATTGACTTGGGTTAGTCCTCATAACAACCCTGTGAGGTAGGCCCTATCATTATCCCCGATTTATACCCAAAATGCTAAGACATAGAGGGTTTGAATAACTTATAAAAGCGATGGAGCCAGGAGTCAGATCCAAAGGGTCTGGCTGTGACAGTTGGAAGAAGGTTGGCCACAGTGTCTTGTTGGAAGATTTGGCTCCCATTGCCTAGAATTCGGGCTAGATGTGGAAGGTCGGGCTTATCTTTCCCCTCACATTGAAGCTATCATGTCCCTTGCACGAAATTGGTGCCCACTCACCTATTAAATGAGTTAATTTATTGAGTCCCTGGAAATTTATTGAAGAAGAAACAGACATGTCCCAAGTTTTGATGATAAAGGATGACATATGAGACAGCATTTTGGACTGAACAAGGGGGTACATTTTTTGAACACCCATTTTCATTCTGTCCTCTTGGAGAGAATGAAGAGTTCTGATCTTTGGTACTTCTTCTTGACGTGTCCTTGTTATAGCTCCTAGTCAGTTTGTATGTGGTAATGACCTCCCAAAACCTCTCTCAAAATTCTGCCAGAGGTTAGACAGAGTGAGGATGGGGGCCTGTGATGAGCAAGGGGTCTGCCAAAGGGATCATTCAATTAATAGCAGAGTACCTGACAAGTTATACTTTACTTTGCTGATTATTTCATCTCTGAGAAGATAGAGAACTTAATTTTGACAAGGAAGCAAGGACTAACTAATGAAATGATCTTGCTTTCTTGGCATGTGTAATAGCCAAGTAGAGAAATCCCTGTATGTAGTCCAAAACACAGACGTCATCCTCAGCTCCTCCCTCTCACACCCTTATCCAGGGCCACAGAGGACAGCTGGGCATGCCAGCCCCAGCCCCACTGCGAGAAGGTATATCAGCTCATAGGAATGCCCTTTTCTAAAGTGCATAAGGACCCTGAGTAGGCCACGGGAGCCTCCCCATATGAACCAGTCAGCATAATCCCTGTGCATCAGTCCTGACGTGTCCCTGTGCATCAGTCAAGTCCTGGCTGAAACTCATCCTCAAAATCTCTCACCACATCCTGGCCTTTCCATTTCCACTCCCACTGCCGTATGTATTATTATTTCTCACATTGGAAGGAGCAGGCTTCTTCGCCTCTGGTCTCTAATAGTCCAACCACCATACCAACACCACGGAATGAAAAGCACAATCATGCTCCTTCCCCTCTTAAAAACCTTCACCCTCAAAGTAAAATCCAGAGAAGTTGGGCATATAAGGCTCAAAATAAGGCTCCTGCCCATCTTTCCTGCCTCAGTTCCCACTCTGTCTCCCACTTGCATTTGCCAGTTACACCTCTATGCCTTTGTTCCTCTGTCCCATCTGTCTGGTAGGTCCTTCCCACCATTCTTCACCTCCTTTCATGTCCAGACAATGGTTTACACTCCTAGATTGAACATCACCTCCTCCTGGAAGAATTCCCAGGTTTCCCTACTTCCCATTGAAGTCAATGTTTCTCTTCCTCACATGCTTTTATTAAAATATTCACTATCCTGTGTGGCCAGGGCTTTCTGATCATCTTACTCACTTCACTGTGAGCTCTGTGAAGGAGGAACTCTATCTTCTACACTTCTGTAGCCCCAGCTCCTAGAAGTGCATGGAGCTCAGATTCTACAAAGATATGTACAAAATATGAAGAGGAAGCACAAACCCAAGAGTGTATTCATAAAGCTTAATGTGCCCATAAGAAATGTGCCATGGAGGCAAACCTAAATGAGGCAAGACTCACAAATGCTTAAGACAAGCAGAATTCCTCAAAGTTGTATTTTGAGACAGGATAGTCAGTAGAAAGAAATGTACTGCTTGGAGAAGCTGAAGCAATGTTAACAAACAAGTACAATAAGGCAGAGATTCTACTAACAGAATCCAATTTTACTCTGATATTCTCCGTCAAAGAGAATGGTCTTCAAATTGGGAAGGGAAGAGCAAACTAGTTGTAGCCCAGCATAGTGAAAATGATAGCACAATACTATGTTTCTTGGCCTTGATTACACATTGGGATCACCTGAGGAGCTTAAAAACTCTGAAGCCACACCCTAGAACAAAGATGAGACCCAGCCATCAGTAGCTTTCAGATCTCCTCAGCCGACATCAAGAACCTCTGTTCTATTTTTTTTTTTTTAATGGAGCTAAAGCCTACAGACCCAGATGGATTACAGATGAAGAAAATGAAGGATCCTGCAGCAGAGAAAACATAGAATATAGGACAGAGGCCAGAAAACTGGAAATGGGGTAGTGTTTTCTTGATATTCACAAAGAAAAAGAAAAAAAGTGTGGTGGAAACTGCTGAAGTTTAGCTCCAGGTTGATTCTTGACCCTGTTCTAAAACTTTGATAACAAAGACTACTTAGGAACATAACTGTGTTCCATCACGTCAATGGCATTAAACCAGTGCGAGTTCCCTGTGGGGCTTCTAGTTTGGCAGATCAAAGGGTGTCGCCGGGTGGTGTGCACAATATAAAGAAGGGGACAGTTAAGGGGCTCCCGGTGAATGAGGGTCTGCACAGACATTTCCTATCTGTGCCCATTATACAGTGGCATAAGTGAGCCCTAGCAACTTAATTACTAAGATTTACAATACTCAAAGGACTTTCACATATATTGGTTCACACAATCCTTACAAATAACCTTGAGGTGACAGACATAATTGACTCCACTCTACAAAAGAAACAGACCTTTAAGATGTCCAGAGACTTGTCCAAAGTCATAGAGTGAGAATGCAGCAGTGCCAAGTCCCAAAGCCAGGTGTCCTTACTGTCTGGAGCCTGTCTTCCCACCACCATCCCTTCTGGCTTGGGGGCCCTGATAACGACTTCTTGCAGTTATCTGTAACTTTTTGTGCCCAAGCCAGAACTTCAAAGGAAATCCTCACAGATACACATTCAGGGCTCCATCTTAGCTTGTGGGAACATAAATTCAGACTATGATGGCAAGCAGGGTAAAGGATTAGGGAGTAGGTAAGGAAGTGGTCGTTTTCTATAAGTGGCCAGAAAACACTACTCTGAGAGGGTGACAATCAAGCAGAGGGCCAAAGAAGGTGAGAGAATAACCTGCCGATGCTAGAAATGAGTGTTCTAGGCACAGGCACAACAAAGACAAAGGCTATGAGGTGGGACTTGCTCGGTATGCTCAAGGAACAGCAAGGAGGCCAAGGTGGCCAAGCTGGATAGTCAGAGAAGAGACCTGAGCCAGACCAGCTGAGTTTGCTCTGCTGCGTAAGGTTGAACATGGGGCTAGTCTCTAGTTTTTCCACTATTAGTAATGCTGCTGTGACGTTTGTACACTCTGCTCTTCTTCTGTACAGTTCTTTGAGGCAACGACCTAGTGTGCAAGGAAGGACACCTGGCATGCTGCCTTGAGCCCTAGCTTTTCTGACTGATGAGAGATCATGGCATATTTCTCTTCTCTCCAAGTCTGTTTCTTCTGCTGTGAAATAAGAGATTGGGTCATGGGGTAGCTTCGAGATCTTTTAAGTCTGTTCCAGAAGGCAGCATCCCTGAGTGCTAAAGGTACTTTACAGCTCTAGTCTTATTGGCAGATGGCATCGTAGAAAAGGTCAGTCTGGTCACAGAGCCCCACAAATACAGCTTCAGTTTCCACACTGACCCACGAGCATGGGGTGTGGTGAATGAGTATGTATGTGCTATGGAAATTCAGAAAAAGGTTCACCTAATTGAGACTTGAGAGGCAGGGGGTGGAAAAGGGCCAAGGAAGGCTCCTCAGAGAATGTGACAAATCTTCTACGTATTAGAGGAAGAAAAGAAATGAACCAGAGAAAGAGGCAAGAGAAGGGTGTCACGAGCATGGGGAGTAGCACAGCGGAGGCTCAGGAAACTGTAAGGATGAGTGGCAGGTCATAATTAGATAAGAACGTGAAGCACAAAGTGGAGATTGAAAAGTTTAAGCAAACTATCTGGAAAATGAAGGGACAAGATGAGGAGAAAACTACTAACTTAAGAGAAAATCAAGTTCCAAAATATTTAGGGCAACCATAATGCAATGGCATTCACTTTGCCAGGACAGAGGTTTGAAAGCAATATCTCACACATCATTATTGCCTTTCTCCTGGCTTCCACCCTTCATCATTTGAACTCATTGAAGTCTCCTCTAGCCTAAAAGCTTTTGCTTGTCTTTTCTTCTCACCTTCATCCAGTCTGTCTTTCAATTCACAGTCTGGTTTCTTAAAGAGTTATCTATATTCACTACATTTTCTACTCTCCTCTCTTCAAGCCACTGCCACTTGTCTCTTCTTACTGAGGTCATTTATGACTCTTAGCTGGTGTATCTAGAGCTTACTTTTCAGCCCTCTACCTAACTGATTTTGACCTTAGTGTGATCTGACCCTATTGCTTACTCCTTCCATCTGGAAACCCTGACACTTCATTGCAATGCCTCTCTAGTCTGTAAGCCCCTTGAGGACGAAGCCCATGTCTGATTTAGTCATTGATGAAGCACCCATTGCCCAGTGTGATGCTGGCCCTATAACGAGCATCTGATAACTGTCAAATAAATAGCTCTCTTAGCATCCTTGATACCTCTCTATTCCAGTTGTACCTATTTCTCTGGTCCCTCATTTTCAGCTTCCTTCACTGAGTCCTCTTATTAAATGATTGTGTATGTAGACAAATATTCTTCTGTACAAAGATATTCATACAGAATGTTTATAATAACAAAAGGAGCAACTAAATGTCCATAAAATAGAGGAAACTGCTTAAATGTGGTACATTGTACATTATTATGCATATTATGCATTACATGCAGCCATTCAAATGATAATTATATGGACTTTAAATAAGTAAGCAAGTTTACAAAATCACATTAAATACAATAAGCTTACAAAACTATATGCACAGAATAATCCCAAACTAATTAATATTAAATATATGCTTAGAAAAAAGTCTAGGAAAAAATATACAAAAATGTTAAGGTTATTTCTGGGTTTGGGAATTACGGGTGATTTTCGTGTATTTTTAAAACTTTTCCCCCATTTTTAAAAATTTAAATAACGGTCATATGTCTTCCATAATAAAAAAGGAAGTTCTTTTAAGTAATGTTTTAAAGAATATCTGTTTCACTCTTCAGGACTTCTCTCCATCGCTGGTATTTACCAATAGGTTTCTCTCCAACTCTGGCTTAGGAGAGAGGCTGATAGATTTTTGATGACAACCAATAGGGTTTGTTGCTGTTGCTTTTAATTCTCATGTGCACATTTGGTTCAAATAATCTCTATGGCTGCACCACTCCACAAATTCCACCGTTTGCCCAAGCAACTTCTGACTCTGACAGAAACAGGGCATATGACTAGGGCACAGCAGTCCCTCTCAGTGTAAGGACTCCCCATGACCACTGGATTTCTCAACTCCTAGTTTTGTGACATTGCTAAACAGCCCCAAATAAGTGCTGTGAGCTATAGCTGGCTGTTCAGGAGCCCACGTATGGAGGACATTCTCAAACCTAGGAGTGACACACAGAGGAACCAGACACTCAGCCCTCCCACTAGCCCCAAACTCCAGAAAGCTGAATTTCCTTTTATATTAATCGATATTCCCAACCTCTATCCAATTTACATCCAGAGACATAGAAAGCTGAAGTTCAGTTTGGACCTGAAGCTGATAGAGAACAGAGAGTCAAGAATGCCCCCAGCTGCCTCCATCTCCTTATCAGTAAAGAGAGAGAGCTGGATTAGGTTTTCTCCAAATGTCCTATTTGTTTGAGAACATCGGGCAAGCAGGTGTGCAGGTGTGCACTTACATTACCAGTGCTGTCATCAGAGCTGGCTGAGTGAGTGTGAGTGCCAAAGGGACTGTTTGGCTCTGTCTAAGCTCCCTCTTCGCAGGCTGGTACGACCAGGGCGGCACGTACAGTGCTGGTGACATGCAAGCAGTTGGTCTGCAGGCAGGTCCATCCCTGCACCCTCCCCGCCACCAGTTTACTGGTGGGGGACAATCTTATGATCCTTCTAGCCACATAGGTTAAAGAAAGCTGCTTCTTTTTTCTTTTAAAAAAATGTTTTAAAAGACCAACAAATCTAGCAGAAATAATTAGAACTAAAGAATCATTCTCACTAATTAGAGGTGCCATTGGGTATTTGAGAATTTGCAGATTTATTCCAACCTAGGAGGCAGACATCAAATAATTGCCTTTAATTTTTTTAAAAAATATATATATACTGTACTCTTTTTTCCAGAATTTTTCACCTAGGACAATTCATAAGCGATTTAAGAATATGCAATGATAGCACTGTATCTGATCTAACATTATTTAAAAAGAAAACACGATTCTAACTTCTTAAAGCGAGGGGGTGGGAAGCAGGAGAATAAAGGGAAAGGAAAGAAAAAGCCATCCACATAAAGCACCATATGCTGGAAATGATCCCAGAACATCGACACCATAAGCTTGCTTTGCACACCTTCCTAAATCCTCTACCCTAAAATGTCCACTCACCTGCCTTTCTTAGACATCTCGTGGATTTCTCTTCCTCGCCAGTGCACTCTGCTTTCAGTGACCAAAACCCATGCCCACCACAAAAGGAAGATGCCAATTTTCATATTCTGGACAGCCAACATGGGTTTCCAAATCCAAACGGTTCTCTCAATAAACAGCAAAAAGGAAAAGGCTGTTTTTTTTCTCTCTTAAGACATTATTGGTCTGTTCATTATTAGAAGGATGTTTACTCATGCAAAAAAAAAACAACCCACAGTATGTAATCTGGAGAGCAGGAGAAAGCAATTTCCACTAAACCTATAAATCCTCCTACGTCAGATGTCAGGGATTTTCTGAACTGAGGTTGAAGTCCTGTGTCCTTGTCAATTATTTTGGCGGTCTAAATTAGTTCATCGTCAGATGTGGTGAATATGTTAGTGAAAGTATGTTTTTTTCTGGTCCAATGAATAGAAGCAAGTAAAAATGGACCAAAGCAATTTCCAAAATGAGAAATGTCAGAGGCGCTGAACTGCTTCGTATGTCATGTTAATGTACTCCTCCCTGCATCTATTTTAAGCTTCCAGCCATTATTATTTGCTTTAACTGAGGGCTGGATTTGGACAGGTCCCCACCCCCACTCCTTCCTGTGGCTGAATCCACAGAACCTCAGGGTTCCCTACCTGGGCAGGTTGTCAGTTGTATTATTTCTATTATAAAATTCAACACACTTTTAATGTTTAAAAAATACCAGTAATAATAATTAATGATAGCCATCAAGGCTGTATTATCTATTGTTGAGAACAAGATAGACAGCAGAGAGATCACTTCATAAGTTATATAAATGTCTAACCACTATGCCATACACCCGAAACTAATATAAAATAGTATTGAATGCCACTTCTAACTGAAAAATAAAATTAAAAATAATAGAGTCAAAATAGAGTCACTTATGCTAAGCCCCATTTCACCAAACCAAGACTTAACTAGTTTGGCTCTCTCAGAAATGGAATCTTAAACCAGGCAATCAGGAGTTGCCTGATTCCCAATTAGGTAATCTGCCTGATAGACTCCTATGTAAGGGGAGAAAATTTTTTCTTTCTTCCCTCCTAGGTTCTTTAGCTGGTCTAATAATTAAATTGACATAGGACATATTCACAGGAGAAAAATTTAATTTCATATGTACAGAAGCCCCATAAAAAGATGAGACTCAAAGAAATGACTAAAGCAGGAAGCTTTTATACCTTTTAGACAAAGAAACAAATTTGTGAAGAATTAACAAGACAAAGAGGTTTGGGCTTGGAATAGTAAATTATGAAGAAGTAACAAGGTTGTTTATACAGGCTTCTTGGTCCTAAATTCTCTATCTCTGGTGATAAAGATGCCTTCTACCCTCCTGGTATAAGCAGGATATGTTTCACATGGGAAATTTATTTCCTGCTTTCAGGGGGACTAAAGGGAGTCAGAAGGCCCTTCTTGCACTGGCAGTTTCTGAGGTAACTTTAATTCAAAATAATCAATATGCTAAAGTGGTATATCTTGAGGTGGCATATTCTCTTCCCTTCAGTTGGAAGAATCAATTAGGCAATCAAGGCCTTGCCTAGAATGTCATAGTTGAGAATGATTTAACTAGGTGTAACAAGCCCTTTTAAAGAACAGTAGTTGGCTGTATTTATGGAGTAGTAGAAATCAATAAATACTTGCTGGATGAATAGATGTCTATGTCTAGATTCTCTTTTGTTTTTTGCATGTGGATGTCCAATTTTTCCAGCATCATTCGTTGACAGACAATCTTTTCTTTATTGAATGGCCTTGTTCCTTTGTCAAAAATCTGTTAGCTGTATTTATGTGGGTCTATTTCTCAGCTCTCTATTCTGTTTCATTAATCTATTGTCTATTCTTTCAACAATACCACCCTCTCTTGATTATTGTAGCCTTATAATAAGTCTTAAAGTCAGGTAATATCAGTCCTCCAACATTGTTCTTCCTCTTCAATGGTTTTGACTATTCTAGGTCTTTTGCCTTTCTAAATAAACTTTCACATCAGTTTCTCAGTATCCATAAAATGACTTGCTTGGATTTTGATTGGAATTGCATTGACTCTAGAGATATAGTTGGGAAGAACTGACATCTTAACAACATTGAGTCATCCTATCCATGAACATGGAATATTTCTCCCATTTATTGTCTTCTTGATTTCTTTCACTATATAAATAAATGAATTAATAAATTCTGCCTCTAAGACTTTATGTTTGGAGTTACTTCTGGGATGTCAAGAACCTGAACCATACTTTAGAGTTTTCTTATTTTTGATATTCTCTTTTTATGAATGATTAAGGAGGCAAACTAACATTTTTTGAGCATCTATGTCCAATAGATAACTTTAAAGCATTTCTAGCTACTTGTTTATTGTTGCTCTCCCTAAGATTTTAATTATCAGTGAAGCGTATCTATTTTGCTCATCGCTTAGAACATCAGCTGGCTCACAGTAGGTGCTCAGAAAGTATTTAGTGAATGAATAAAGGAATGTATTAAATGCCCGATGTATTTATTTCCTAAAGAAAAAAAAATATATAAATACTTTTAATTTTTTTCTAAGTTTAATTTTGAAATATTCCAGAATATAGGGAAAAAATTCAGATCCTCATGTATTAATACATTTTAGGAAAAATTTAACAACTATGTTTAAGATTAAAATTATTTTTGATTAGCACTGATTTAATTTTTTAAACACAATACCATAATTGCCCCAATTCTCTCACTTAGAAAGTTCGTTCAAACCATCCTGTATAGCTCATCCTGTATAGCTCATCTACTCCATAAAATAACCTCTCCTGACCACAATAACTCACCTTGAGCAGTCTTTTTCCATGTACTGATAGTGTTTATTCTGTACTACATAACTTTAGCATTTAATTATCTGCTGCCTAATGTGGCTGGCTATTTGTTTCACAAAGACTGTATTTGTCTTCTTTCTCTAAGAACAATTTAAATGTCATCACTACATTTTACTCATCTTTTTATCACACCAGCTCCCAGCACAAGACTTTGTATACCATTGGTTGAAAAATTAAATTCCTTTTGATTCTTTATATCTCATAATTATGGTCAAATAATAAATGTTTCATGAATGCTTAGAGCAATTAATGTGGTGATTCTCTGAACAATCTTTTAAATACTTGGCCCAAATCCTTGGGAAGATGGGCACTTAGGTCTCCTTCCTGTGAAGCAACCCCTACTTGCTGTTTTGCAAGCTCTTCCCACCAGGAGCCACAAGTGGTTTTTAAAATGTGGTTTTTATTTTAAATTAATTAGAGGTTATGAACATGAACTAGCAATGAAGAATCAGTAAGAAAAAACACATATATAATCCCCCACCCTTCAAAATGAGAGCAAAGGAAGACAGCACTAAAGGTTTCTGTTTTTTTAAACTACCATGGTTTGCTATATTAAATGACTTGAATATTTCAGGCTAGAAATGAGAGGAGCGCTTATGAAGTACAAGGTTTTTCAGCAAAGTCATGAATATCTTGGGTGACCTTGGACTTTTTTTTTTTTTTTTTTTTTTTTTTTTTTGCAGTGTTTTGGACATGTTTTAGCTCTCTGTACTGCAATCTCCCACTTGGAGATAATCCTCTAAATTATAGATCCATCTAGAATGGGGAATAAATAATAAATATTTATAAAGTGCTGTGTCAATGAAACAGAATAATAACACAGAAATAATATGCAACAGTATACTCAATAAGTGACCCATGGAAAACCAGTAGGTAGTTTAAAGTGAAAAGAGGTCAAAAGTGTGGTCCTCAACCACTATTTCTGAATAGTGGACTGTAGACCACTGGATGGCCTTGGGGAAACTGAAGGAAGGCCATCGACCCATGTAGGTACTGTATTTATAAAAAACAGAGGCTTGACTCAAGTTGGCTTAAACAAAAATGTATTACCTCAATAAACAAGAAGTCTAGGTTACAGAGTTTTTCGATTTAGTGGTGTCATCAAAAAGACAGGATTTTTTCTTTCCCTCCATTCTTTCATGTGTCCTTTTTCCTCTGGCCATCTTACTCGTAGTTGCAATATGGCTGCCAACAGCAGCAAGTTTCCTCATTCATATCCAGTGTGTGAGAGAGAGGGAAAACCTCTTCCCGCAGCATAGAAGATAAGCCCTTCCCTTCAGTCTGACTGGGCCAAGGAAGGTCTTAAGTCTACCTCTGGACCAGTAAACTTTACCAAAGGAAAGTGTCCTCAGATTGGCCTAGAATAATCAGGCTTACCCTCTGGATTGGGAATGGGACAGGTGTTTGAACAAAACCAGGGGTTTGATTCAGGAAAGAGGAAAACAGAATGAATGTTGGCTTGGCCACTAGTGGTGCCCACTACAGGTGTGAAGCATCTGGAGACTGAATTTATAACATGTCTTTGCTGCTATTTCCAAATATTCTCATAGCTCCTGTGATCGATAAAATGCAAACCCAGTCTGGAAGTGTTTTGGACGTGCAGTTGAATTCATAATGGTCTTTATATATTTTTTTAATTAATTCATAATGGTCTTTAGCAATGTATTTTCTCTACCCAGAGACATTAAAATTATCATAACAATCATCTGATTTGAAAGGAAAGAAGGAAGGAAGAAGAGGCTCTTCCTGTTGTAAACCTTTAAATTAAATTTGGGAGAGTCAGTGCAACCCTGTCTCCCTCTACTGGAATCATAGCAAAATTGTTGAAGGCAGCTTTTTATTTGTTTCCAAGTCCGTTTTTACTGGAAACACATAGACTTCTAGGTTCAAGTATAACTTCACAAGAAGTCCCATAGTTTCTTGTTGATGGAGTTTGAGCTGCTTGTTATGGTCCAGGGGAATCACTGTGGCAGATATTATAGGGAAAAGAGGAAATGCTGTGAGATCATCTAGGCCTAAAGCCAAAGTGTCTGTGCAGAGCCCCTCATGGGTTCTACCAGAATGGAAGAGGAGTGCCCCTCAGCAGCACTGCATGATCTGAGGGCTGAATACAAAATACAGGGACTTCTTTTGTTGCCCCAAAAGCAACCTGGCTGCTGCTGAATAATTACGTTAGTTTGCAGTCGAATAGTTCTTTGGCATTTACAAAATATTTGCACATCCACGATTTTATTTGGTCCCAAACACCAGCCCTGGAAGGAGGCATAGCAGGTTACTACCACCACTTTATTAGTGAGGAACCTGAGGCCCAAAAACATTGAATTATTTTTCCAGGATACATGATTAATAAACAGGAAAATCTGTGCTTTTGACCCCAGAATCTGTGCTTTCCCATTGATATCATACTCCACTCCCTCCTTGAAATGGCTGGTCAGTAAAATGATTTTACTTGTCACCAGTGTTCTTAACATGTTGCCCAAGGCATATTGATGACAACTCAGATCTTTTAGTCAATTAGTTTCAGATTATTCCCTGCTAATTAGAGGAACTGATTCATTTGAATGAAATAGAGGTTTTAGGGCAATGGTAAGAATGAAGTCTTTGAGTGAGAAGCCACATTTGCAACTGTTCAACTCTTGAAGAAAAAGAATGTAATTTCATTTTACAATAAAATAAACAATAAGCTTTAACTGAACTCA